GCCTGGGTGGCTCAGTTGGTTAAGCGACTGCCTTCGGCTCAGGTCATGATCCTGGAGTCCTGGGATCGAGTCCCACATCGGGCTCCCTGCTCGGTGGGGAGTCTGCTTCTCCCTCTGACCCTCTTCCCTCTCGTGCTCTCATTCTCTCTCTCTCAAATAAATAAAATCTTAAAAAATAAATAAATAACCAATGAGGGGGTTCAGAAAACTGACAGATTTTTAAACAAGGTAATTTACTGATCATGTAACAGAAAAGACACTTTTAAAATTGTCAACAGAGCAATTTAAAGAGAATGAAATAAAGCAAGAGACAAAGAGACTAAAGTAAAAGTATGGCCAAAGAACAGATGCCTGAGAAACTGTCCCCAGAGCGAACAAACACGACGGGCATGGCCAGGCCCGCAGCCGTGACTCTGGGACTAGACCGAGTGACTCGCAAAGGCCCGGGGCCACAGACAAGGCCCCACAGCCCAGACCCCGGTGCGGCCCGCCACCCACACCCTATGCCTGAGACCCCCGCACGCCCAGGCCGTGTGGTCACCGCCAGGGCGGGAGGGGGTTGAGGTTCCAACATGCAGGATCTCCAGGGCCAACGGAGTCAGGCAGGCCCCCCACGAGGGACCTCGGGGAACTCTGTGAGGGAGGGTCCCGCACGTGGTGCCCACGGACCCATCAGACAGATGCCGCCTCCCGGGGTCCCCCGGGGACTGACTCCTTGAGAACAGGAGGCTCCAGCCTAGCCTCTCGGGGCCCCGCGCTCACTTCACGGGCCTCTTGCCCGGCGGACGGGATGGAGGAAGCTGGTGGCAAGGGGTGGCCTCTGGAGGGTGCGCTGGGCACCGCGGAGGACGGGGCAGCAGCCCCACACACGCTCCCCTGGCCTCCGACTCCTGGCTGGTTCAGTAACTCCGCGGCGGATGCGGGAGCTGAGACAGGCCCAGGGCCACAGAACAGAAGCGCCTCAAGAACTCCAGGCTCCCCCGACCCGCAGCCGAGAGAGGTCTGTTGACTGCTGCCCGACCCTCACACAAGGAACCCCCAAAGGTGCCCGGGGCAACTCCAGAACCAGCCCCAGAGGACAGCTGACAGAGGGTCTCCCCTCAACATCAAAACAGAAGATACAGAGTTTGAAGCGTTTAAAGGAAGGTCAAAAAAGGTTACTGTAAGAGAAAAGCTTGAGGAGCACTGTGCCCCCTCCCTGGGGGCTGGGGGACCCCCGCGCTCCACGCCCCATGACACCCCCCCCGCAGCGCTGCCGACGGTGCTCCCTGGCTGGCTGGCACCAGACCCCTCAGATCCTCACATGCCACCATGTCTTAAGTTCCTCAGATGCAAACATCCTGAAAATAAAAGTATTTGTATTAATGTATCTTTATTGAAAGATAATCCTTTCTAGGGGCGCCTGGCTGGCTCAGCGGGAAGAACGTGCGATCTTGATCTTGGGGTCATGGGTTCGAGCCCCGTGCTGGGTGTAGACATTGCTTGAAAAATAAAATCTTTAATTAAAAAAAATAATAATCCCTTTTAAAAAGTAAAAGCGGGGGCGCCTGGGTGGCTCAGATGGTTGAGCATCTGCCTTCAGCTCAGGTCATGATCCCAGGGTCCTGGGATCGAGTCCCGCATCGGGCTCCCTGCTCCTTGGGAGCCTGCTTCTCCCTCTGCCTCTCTCTCTCTCTCTGTCTCTCATTAATAAATAAATAAAATCTTTAAAAAAAAAATAAAAAAATAAAAAGTAAAAGCGTAATTCCTAAAACATAAACGGACCTGTTCAAAGATTTAACTGCTTAATTAACGAGGGAACCAGTAAACTGTTAAAAACCCTGCTCAAAGGGGTGGGGGGGGGAAGACCATGTGACAGCGCAAGGAACAAGATGATGTGGCTGAAGAGGCGAAATGGCAGGTGTCACAGGAGACGGGCACGCCCCCGCGGGACAGAGCCCGTCTGTGTCCCCTACCCAGACCCCCGGTGCCATTGGTTCCTGAAAAAGACACAGAGCCTAGGGATAGAAGTGCGCCCCAGGAAGAGGCACTGCCACGGCCCACGTTCAGGGGCCCTCCACTGTGGCATTTCCGTGAGCCAACAGCAGAGGGGTCCTGGGGGGTGGGAGGCAGGGTGCCCCCTGGGGTCCCGGAGAGCAAGTGTGGATCCCCACCACCACCTTGACTGTGCTGGGAAAGTTCCTGCTGAGAACCCCTTGCCATGTGACTTAGATGACTCAGTTGCCCCCAATCACCCGTGACAAGGCTGGACACGGACCCCAAATTCATTCCATTCTTCACCCTGTTCTTGACTGGCTGACCTGTCTGGGCTCATGGATGGGAACAGAATGCCCATTAACCTCACCTGGTCCATCCTTCAGGCCCGCAGATGATGACCCACCCTCAGCCTGAGACAGGCAGACCCAGGGTGATGCGGCCCCTGATGTCAGATCACACTACCCACGCCTCCAAGTAGGCCTCTGCCTGCACCAGCGCCTTCCCCTCCCACCCGATCCTCGTCCAGCCGGGGTCCCTCCCCGCAGAAAGCAAGCCTGTCCCCGCCCGGCCTCAGAGACCCTGGCAGACCCCAAGGTCTCCCTCTTGCAGCCACGGCTCCTTCCCCGGCCGGCAGTGACCCCATCCAGTATGATCTCTCCTGACTCAGGGTTTGTTTCTTTGACACACTTGTGCTCTCCTCCCCAATTCTGTGTCTAGAGTATCCAAGTGTCAAAATGCCACGTGCCGTCATCGCTGGTTACACCCCGTGCTGCAGATGGGAAGGGGGAGTGCAAGATGCAGAGTTTTTAAGGGTAAAACTCAGTATCTCCATCTACTTGTGCCAAGTCCCTCTAGCCCCATGCCCAGTGAGCCCACCGCAAGCCCACTCTCCACCATCATTCACACAACCCTGAGACAACTGCCAGGCTTCCTGCGAACTTGCCCCACGGCCCACAAGCCCCTAGGGAGCAGACTGCTACTCCTCAGTGTTTAGCGATTGTTATTCCGCAGGAACCCCTCTGGGAAGCGGAGGGCGACAGACCCTCTCTCTGTGCATGCATGCGTACACACACTCCCCCTCCCCACCCAAATTTTCAACACTTTTAAGGGATGTCCCTGCAGGCCCAAGCTAACCACCTGGCGCAGGGGCAGGCAGCCAGTAAGTACACAACAGATGTGGAATGGGCTGGCCTCAGGGTGACCCAGTAGGAAAGAGAGTCACGATGACACTAGGAGGACCACCCACAAACACATCAACGACACTGGCAAACAGCAAGAAGTGGGTGGAAGCGGAGGGTCTACGGGACACCCTCCTGCCACGTCTATCCAATTCTGAGTCCCCTCCCCCATTCCAAACCACCACGAATAAACAAACCTGTTTCTCACCGCCGGCATCGCACGCTTGCTTCTCCCCGGCACACAAAGGTCCCCGTGTCCCAGAAGCGCGGCGGGCAGCACGCAGCAGGGGGCGTCCCTTCCGCGGCAGCGCCAGGCGCCAGGCTAGTGGCCGAGGAGCTGCCACGGCACCCTTCCCCGGGGCTTCCGGAGGCTCCTAGCCCACACCGCCCCCTGCCAAGTTTCTTTTCCCCCAGAACACTCTCAGCTACGTTCTGGACTCTGGGACCATGCCCCACTAGATTTCAAACTCTACTTCCTGGAACTCAGATGAGTCCCCCGCAGCGCTCCCCTCCCCCGCAGCCACTGGAAGGCCTCCAGGGCCTGGCCTGGCTCTTCGATTGCGAGTGTGAATCCTGCCAAACGGGGACGCTCTGGAGCGACGCCCGCCACCCTTTCAGCTTGGGAATGAATCTCCTGCTCAAGGAGGGACACCTCCCAGACACCAGCATTTCCACCCAGCTGCACCAGCACTCCGCGAGAGTTCCAGACCCCTCTCATTGCTTCCTGGTCAGCAGGGGCCATGATGGAAAAATGCTGCCCCCGACTCCCGCACCTCTGTGACACATGGGCGACCTCCCAGTGATCTGGCCACACATGATGTGCCCACAGGTGCAGAGTCAGGGCCGCCAGCAGGTCACGGCTGCCCCTCCCCCACTGCGGAAGAGAGTCGGTCACCTGCCTGTCTCCACCTCGAGCTGTGCAACTCTGACTTTCCTGACCGCAGTAACTTGCGCCAGGCTCCTCAACAGGCCTGTGAGGGACTCTATGACACGAACTCACGTATGACAACGAGAGCCACGGTACTTTTATCTTTCCACAGCACTAACCAAGGAGGCCCTGAGAGCAAAGGTACATGCTGTTCAGAGTAGGAGCACCAAGGGTAAAGCTGCAGAAAAGAGATCACACAGGGCAACAAGGGACCGAGGCCGGGGAGGCCCACGGCTTGGCCGCCGACCTCCAGGCTGGCCCCTCCTCCCCGCTGCCCTGCACACGGCGCCTCCCCAGCTTCTAGGCGCTTGCCCTCCTCCCACACCACACACCTGATTTCATTCCTCTGCTGAAACCCTGTGGCCGAAACAGCGATTCTCAGGGAGGAAGGGAGGGTGGCTGATCAGACACAGGAGGTGCTTGTCACTTAAAGCACTTTCAACAATCATGGATTGCTAATTTCTTTCAGACGGTTTTGATTTACAGGAATGCATGGACTTCTGTCCCTTGGCCTCCGGGAACTGAGAATTGCTGGCTTATGGTCACAGAAGGGCCTTCAGAAGGTGCCGCACTCACCCCGCCAACAGGGACAGCTCAGCGCCTCCCCCAGCCTCACCCCTCCGGCCACAGCTGCTCGTGCCTCTCCAAGCGGGTGCGGTTCCCCAACCAGGACGCCCTCCTTACTGTCCATCCGGAGCCTCCTGCTCCAACCCAGCACTCCGCTCGCACCACGCAAGAGCCCCCCTCAGGCCTCGCGGCGGCCGCTCCGCCGCTCCCCCCACGGGGCAGGGGCTCCACTGAGCAGCTCAACCAATGAAGTGGAATTCCCACATGACCTCGCAGGTGGGCAGAGCCCGGGCCGAACGGGTGGGACTGCCCGTGCGGGGCGCACTTCGCGCGGGGGGTGGGCGGGCCTGGGAGCCCCGAGAAAGAACCAGGCAGAGGGCACAGTGCCCATGGCCCCGGAAGGGCTGGAGCGCGGACGACTGGAGCCCGGAATACCGAGGGTAGCCGTGGGGGGCCCCGGAAGGGCAGCAGGAGCCAGCCGAAGCGGTTCGGGGTACAGGGACGCTAACGGGGTCCCGGGCGCGGATGCGCGTCCCGGGATCCCGGTGCAAGGACAGGAGCCCCTTGGCCTCCATCGGGGTCCCGGGACACTAACGGGAGTGCCGGGGCGCAGACGAAGGGTCTCGGGAGAGCGGGGCGCGTACACGGAGCCCTCGGGCTCGGAAGGGGGTCCCGAAGCGCGGAGAGGGTGCCGGGGGTCTCGGGCGAGCGGGGCGCGGAGGAGGGGACGGGAAGCTGGCGGGCGGCGGCGACCTACCTCCTTGTCTGGGACCCACTGAGGCTCCTCCAGGCCGAAGGGGCTGCCAAAGGCGCGGTGCTCGGGCACCATGCGCAGGCCGCTGGGGGAGCGCACCAGCTTCTTGGCATCGCGGCGCGCGGCCACCTCGGAGGACATGACGCCGCCTCAGCGCTCGCCAGGCTCCCGGACCCTGGTCCTGCCAGGAGCCTCGCCCCGCCCGCGTGGATGACAGGGGCCGCGTCCAATCGCCACGCCCGGCTCGGAGAGCGAACCAATCGACGCCCGGGATCCGCCCCATCGCTGCGCTTTTCGATACGCGCAAGGGCACCTCCCCGGCCACCCTGCGGTCGGTCACCAATCGGCAGTGAGGACGCGCCCAGGCACGCCCCGTCTCCTGGGGACGATTGAGACTTTGGATTGGTCAGTTAGTCTGCGACGTAGCGCTGCTTCCTCTCTGATTGGCAAATCCGGTGCGGGACGCCCGGCTCTCATTGGAAAGGGAGGTTGCGACGGGCGGGGCAGCGCGAGGCGGTGAACGGAGCGCGCGCGCGGTGAGAGTAGTGGGCCGCGGGGGTGCGGCGCGAGGTGCGCGCGCGGTGAGCTGGGCCCCGGCGGGGTCGCGGGTCGTGCCCACAATCCACGCCCGCGGGCGGGCGGAGGGGACAGCCGGAGCCCAGGTCCTGGCGGGGTTCTGGCAGCTCGGGAGCCGGGGTGCGGAGGCCCGTCCTGGGGGCTGCCACCCGCAGAGACCCAAGCAGGCCGGCGGGCTGCAGGGCCGCACGAAGGTGGGGCGTTCTGAGGTGGGGGGCGTCCAGGTGGACCGCCGTGAAGATGGGGCGCGTCGCGGAAGAGCGGGTGCGCTGGGTCGTCACGTGGGTCTGCTGGACCTCCGGGTCTGCAGGAGTCGCTGGCGAGAATGGGGCAAGGTGGTGCAGGGCCTGGAAAGGGAAGGGGTCCCCAGAGAGGCCAGGGTCCTGAGAAGGGCCGCGGACCCAGGTCACCGGGAGAAGCGCCCTACCAGCAGCCCTGGGATGAAGCAGCGCTCATCGCTCCCGCCGGGAGGGGAACCCGGAATAGATGGCCACTCTGGAGAGTGGTTGGGCTGCTCCCACCGGGACTAGACACACACACACACCCCCTACCCCCCCACCTCCCGACCCCCGCCCCAGGCAGGCCAGCCTCTGGATAACGGAGTTTTGCAGTGTGGAGACTGAACAGTTCCTGCTGGATTTGTTAACAGGCGGGCGGGAGGTAGAGCTCGGGGCCTGGACCCGGATCCCCCTGCCGGCTGTATGGCCTGAGCTTGTCAGGAAGTGGCTGTGCGCGTCCCTTTCCTGGTCAGCGAGGCGGGGGTGCTAGTCTTGCTCTCCTGAGGTTTGAGTGAGGCCTGATGTGGGAAGTGTGCTTAGAACCATCCTGAGAGTGCACCCCGTGTTCCGGTACCCCAGTGACTTCAGCACACCTGTGAGGCTGCGCTACCTTGCCTGAATTTAGCTTTGAACTTGGCAAGAGAACGTGGCCTTGGTTCTGTGGGAGATTAGGCCGACTCTCCTGCCGGTTAGAGAGTTGGGCCCTGCCCTCTGGTGTGTGGGCGGCTGTGTGTGGTACCGCCCAAGCTGCCGCTGAAGTGGGATTCCCAGTAATTCCTCCTTACAAGTTCATTAAAGCTGCTTGAAACGTGAGTCTTGCTGCCCGGAGTGAGGGTGGGCCCGTCCGTGGGGAGCTCGGAGCTTTCCATGCGGCCTGGGTTAGCCGCCGGGGTCCCGAGGGAATGCCCCTCTGGCCTTCACTCCGGCAGGAACTGCTTCCAAGTCACATCGATCTTAATGGTTCATGCAAACCGTGGGTTCTCTCCGGTAGCTCTGTCCCACTCACCCAGTGGCATGTGATGGTCACTGTCCCCCGTAAACAGTAACCAAAACGCTCCAGGAAGCTGCCCCGGTCTGCAGCTCTGCGTGCGCACAGGGCTGGGAGGATGGCTGGCTCACGGGGAGGCAGGGGGACAGGGTGCCCACCTGGGGGCTGTCTGTCCAGCCCCTGGGCCAGTGTCTGGTTTACAGGGGCTCCACCCATGGTCACTCTGCTTCCCAATGCCCTTTTCCTCCACCACGTAAGCTTGAGGCACTGTGCTCACCTGGCTTGTTTTCCTGCCCTGTGTCAAGCTGCTCCTCAGGATCCAAGTTTTGTATCCAGGGACCTCCCGGAGGCGGCAGCCTCCTGCCAGCCTCCCTGGCTCCACACGCACAGCCTGGGCAGCCTCAGCCGGAACCTCTCTCGCCCGGCCATCCGTCTTCACGGCCGGACCCCAGCCCAGCGTGTTGGCTGCGTGTCACATCAAGGCATGCCCCCGGGGCTTTCCACAGGTCTAGGGAAAGGATGGACACACACACACACACACACACACTCTTTCTCCAGAATTTGAAAACAGCAAGCTCGGTATTTCATCCGGGTGTTCTGTTGACCTGGAGGTGGTTTTGGGTGGTGCCTCCCTGGGTCACCTCTTCCCGTTCTTGTCCTCAGGGCCCCTGAAGCTGAGCTCCCTGCCAAGCCAGGAGGGTGCGCCGCAGCTCCTTTGACAACTTACTACTTGCCCTGCAGATGATACTCTCTTTCGTATTTGCTTTCTGTCTTCAGGAATCTCACCTCACACCTTCCATACACTCAGGGTACCTTTTGGAGCTTGTCACAGTCCCCATCGCCTCTCTCTGTGTGTGGCTGGCCCTGGGGCCCTGCGTTCAGGCGCCTCTTTCTGGCAGAGACCCAACCATCCTTCTGCAGTTTGCGGTCCTGGTGGCCTCCGGGGGGCCGGGGCCTCTGCATGTGTCCTCGCCAGTGTCAGCAGCCCTGGCCTGGGAGCACCTGCCACAGGCAGACGTGGGACCCACAGCGTGAGCTGCTTCCTGCAGCAGCTGTCATGATCACGTGGTGCGGTCACACCTGGGCATCAGGCTCCACAGTCACCCCAAACTGGCACTGTCGGTTCTGGGTGCCAGACCTGTTTCCCCTGACCGGCCTGTGAATGGGACGGTGCGAGTCACCTGGTTCTCGAAGCGCCAAAATCAACCTGATGTCCACATCGTAACACTCTGAGCGCTGCAAGGGCAGGTGACCTTCCCCTCGGCGGGGGCCTTGCTGGTGGACGTCGGCACAGGGTTCAGCGGGCCAGCGTCTGGCTGCGGGTCTTGGCGTTCCTGCACCCACCCTGCTGCACCCCCAGCCCTGCTGCTCTGGGGGGCTTGCTTCTGCGTGGCCCTGGGCTGAGTGGGGCAGAACCAGAGCTCGGGGCCTGGGGCAGGGGTGGGGTTGGGCTGCTGGTCAGGGGACGGGTGCGGGCTGCAGGGCAAGGGCAGGACAGTCTCCACTGTCCTCCGCTGAAACAGCTTGGTAGTTGTGGAGGTTCCAACTCGCAAGCATCCTGCAAGATTCAAAACTCACTTTTCCCATTCTTGCCAGATCCTCCATGGAGACACGCTTAGGGGAGGTGAAACGAGAATGCAGAAGACACTTCATTCCCGCGAGCCCAGTGCGTATGATCTCCAGCTGTCTGCGTCATCCTCACCAAAGAGGTGGGTCAAGGCAGGGTGCTCATCTGGAAACCAGGTCCCCGGGCCAGGACCCGGGGCCAGAGCACGTGCTCATTTTTAACCCTTTCTGCAGGGGACGGAATGGGCCTGCTTGTGTAGCGTGGACCTTTAGAATGCAGGTGACCTGGGGGCCCTTCTCCAAACACATCACTCTATGGATTGGAATTCATGGTTTCTAAGTTCCCAAATGGCGGCTCTATAACAAAAGCACTGCCTTAGACTCACCTCAGTGGTTTTCCTGCTAAAGTCTCTCCTGCAACCTCGGGGCTGACGGTGAACCCGTCTCAAAGGGGACTGCACACCCAGGCCACCATCACTCTGCTGTGCTCGGCTCCTGGGCGGTTTGCAGTGACAGCAAGCACTTTGGAATTTGTGTCCCTGAGAAGTTATTCGTCTTTGTGGTCAACCTGTTGAAGAAATGGATTTGGATCAGTTGGACCTGAATCCCAGAATTATTGCTGCAGTTAAGAAAGGTATATTTATTGATGTTTGGATCGAGTAGATATGTGAAATGTATGGATGTACGTGTACACAGTGCACGAAAAACAGGTTAACAGTGTTGCCTGTCCAGGTCCTCCCCTTCCCCAAGCCGACTGATCCTGATTAGTGACCCATGCTGGAATGTGTTGCAAGTTTTTCGGGGGTGTGTGTGTGTGTGTGTTTCACTGAAGACTTTTTTAAAGTTCATTTTATTTTCATCAAAGGTAATACATGTTTATCGTCTAAGAAGTGAAATGGAACTACTTACACCACTTATGATTTTATCAACTTCTTTTGTATTTACATCCGGGTTTCTAAATAACGTGCTTATGTTGCTGTGTTCAATTTGTCAATGTCAGGGATTACTCACAGAGTGGGTGTTACACTGATGAGGACTGGTTTGCTTGTGCCCCCACTTACTCCACTCCTCCCCCCACAGTTGGAACACAGTTTGGGCCATTAGGGTTTTGACTGGGGACATGGTGACTACTGCTGAACTGGGAGGTTAAGACTGTTTCCTTTCTTGTCCCATCTTTGTTATTTTTCCCCAACGTTGTTAGTTGCCTCCTTTTTTCCAATGCTGTGTTTTCTGTGTATGGCTCACTGACTTTCCCCACATTGTCCAGTATGTCCATCAAGTACCAGTGCCTCATTTTTAAATGCTCAAAGGGTTGAACAGCTCACCCATTCTGTTTGTTTCCTGGTGCATCCATCCCCAGCTACCCTGCACCAGCTGGCGTCCTGGGACTCCCTTCCATCTCCCCTGTCTCCTGGGGCATTTGATGGGGAAGCTTCAACATTAGGATGCTTGTTGATCATATAACATGGAATCCTAAGTACACGTGGGGGCTGATGCAGCAACATGGTGATGTCCTACATGGGGGCAGAGTCTTGAGGTCCTGTTCCTTCATCCTTGGCTCTTGGTTTTTTCAGAGCCCATCAGTCGTTTTGCTTCGTTTTCCCTTTCATCCAGCCTGTCCATCTGTTTTAACCGGAGCGTTCAGTGCATACATATTTAAGGGAATTCCTGATACATGTGGGGTTCAGTCTGCCTTATTATGCTGAGCTATTTTTTGTATTTCTTTTTGTGGTGGTTTTCCACTTTTGACTTCTGGATTGGTTGAATATATTTCTACCAAATTTATTTTGTACTAGTTTGAAAGTAATGCATTTATCCAAGCCCAAAATTAATTTATCCACTCTCCTCCCCAAGTACCAGACCTTTTGGACACATTAACTCCGTAGCCCTCCCCACCTAGCTCCTGCCCACCGGCATTGTAACCCTCGTGCGTTCTTTGCTGTTTGGCCCGCCGCCATCCCGCCCTCCCCGCCACGCCAGCGGTCTGGTACAGTGGACGCTTGTTGGGAACCCGGCTCAGCTTTCCGTCCTGCACCCCTTCCCTCATGCGTGGTCCTCAACCTGCCCTGGAATCATCCTCTAGCCTTGCCTGTGTGTAGGCCTGCCCGGCCACAGAAACCTCCTTTCTTGAGAGGTGTTTCCGGGGTGCGGAGCTGGGTTGCATCCACTGCTCTGGGCACCTGGGAGAGGCCCCTCTCATCTCTGGCTCCTGCTGCTGCAGCTGTGAAGTAGGGCTCCCCCAGGCCCCCTCCCTCCTCCTGCTGTCGTCACACTCTACCAAGGGGCTCCCAGAGCCTCAGGGAGTGGATGGATCAGGCCCCTGCCCGCCGGGTCCCCAGAACAGCATTCCTGAGAGCACCTGCTGTCGTCGTGTTGTCTCGTGTTACCGTAGTCTGAACTCGCCCTGTAATTTATTTGTATAATTTCAGCCAAACTGAAATCAGTGAAGGAGGTTTTGCATTTTTCTGGACCAGACTTGCAGAGACTGACCCGCCTCCCCAGCCTCGACGTGCAGCACCTGCTGAGAACAGCCTCCTCACACCTGCAGGGGACACGCGTCTGCACAGGTGTGCACGGAGAACGTCGGGATGGGGACCTGTCAGGTGGCGGGAGTAGCCATGGGGGCCCTCGCTTCTGAGAGTCAGCTCTTGGGCCAAAAGAGATGGGACCGAGCCAAGGGGCGTGGGAAGCAGGGGTGAGTTGGCAGTCAGAGCCCGGAGCCCCCGGGTGCCCACGGAGCACTGCAGCGGCCGTGACCGCCTCCTCCCTGCTGGCTGGCACCTCATCCACCCACGTGACCGAGGTCACCTGTCCTTCCACCACGTGGTGCCTGACACACCCCCCCCGCCCCGCATTCCCAGCGCTGCATCTGCACCAGCAGAAGCAGAGGTTCCCCACGCAGCACCAGCGCCTGAGCCTGGGCTGCCCCGTACTCGACGGGCTTCTCCGCGGCGGCCTGCCCCTGGACGGCCTCACCGAGCTGGCCGGCCCCAGCTCCGCCGGCAAGACCCAGCTGGCGCTGCAGCTCTGCCTGACCGTGCAGTTCCCGCGGCAACACGGAGGCCTGGAGGCCGGTGAGTGGCTGCCCCGAGATGGGGGGCAGAGTTGTGGGGGCGGGGGTCCTGCCCAGGAGTTGAGGGGGGCCAGCAGTGCCGGGGCCGTACTCCACGGAGGCTGCGCCAGACGTACCCACAGTGTCTTCCTGGTTCCATCTTTCTCTGCCTCTGGCAGAGCGAAAAGTCCCCTCGTGGGCTGTGGGCCTGGCCCGAGGGTTCCTGCGAACTCGCCCACACCACCAGCCTGCACACACACACTTGTACACACACATCCTCACACCACCAGCCTGCACACGCTCGTATATACACACTCACACGCTCACACCACCAGCCTGCACACACACACGTACACACACACGCTCACACCACCAGCCTGCACACACACACTCGTACACACACATGCTCACACCACCAGCCTGCACACGCTCGTATATACACACTCACACGCTCACACCACCAGCCTGCACACACGCTTGTATATACACACACGCCCACACCACCAGCCTGCACACACATGCTCACACGCCCACACCACCAGCCTGCACACACACACTCGTACACACACACGCTCACACCACCAGCCTGCACGCTCGTATATACACACTCACACGCTCACACCACCAGCCTGCACACACGCTCGTATATACACACACGCCCACACCACCAGCCTGCACACACATGCTCACACGCCCACACCACCAGCCTGCACACACACACTCGTACACACACACGCTCACACCACCAGCCTGCACACACATGCTCGTACACACACTCACATGCCCACGCCACCAGCCTGCCAACTCTTGGTCCACAGAGGCAGACCCGGGCAAACAGTATTTCACTTTTCTGTTTCCGGGGAAGGAGCTTGCGGGCTGGAGCCCCAGGGTGGTGGGGGCGGGCAGGCCTGTGTTGCGTGGCGGGGGCTGGGCCGTGCATCTTGCGTTGCTTTGTTTGGCTGACATCTGCATGGGCTACGCGGTAGAGGGACTTTTCCAGGCTGCCTGCGTGCGTCACTCAAGTGTTCAAAATCTGAATTGTTTTTACTAAACGTGAGGTAACTGGGGCGCACGCGACGTTGTCGGGTAGCTGCCCCTCTGACGCTCCACGGCCCCTCCTTGCTCCTGGGCTGCACACAAGCCGGCGGCACCTCCGAGCTCACGTGCACACCCCGCTGCCCGGACAGGCTGGGCCACGTGGCGGGCTGGGGATGCAGCCGGGACCAGACATCCCGCCCCGGTGACATGCACCGGGATTATGCGCAGGTTCCTGTGGTCGCAGAGCCCCCCGCGGGGGCACCGGCAGCAGGCTGCTCGGTCTGGATCTCTCCCGCTTCCCGTTAGCATCGTGAGCTCTCGTGAGGGGCAGGGTCTGTGCGGCTCCCGTGAACCCCCAGCGTCTGGCGCCGGCCGGGTCTGCTGGCCACGGGCAGGGGCTCCTGACCACGTGCGGCACTTGCTCACACCTGAGGCGGGCGTTTGTGTGTCACTCTGGTTCCAGCGTCTCTGTGCGCAGTGCAGTCCGAGAGGGCCTAAGGGCCAGGCGCCTGGTGCTGGTGCTGGGTAGATGGACTTGGCCTTGGAAGCGGGTCATCCGTTTACCCCACGAAAGAGGCACGATGATGCCCAGCTTGCGTCTGCTCAACCAGTGTGTCCGCGGGGCCCTGTTGGGGGGCTGCGCCCGAGACAGGCTGGGTGTGGAGTGCAGGGCTGGCCATCCAGTCTTTTTTCTTTTTTTTTTTTTGATTTTAGTTTTCTTTATTTGAGAGAGAGAGAAACAGCATGAGAGGGGAGAGGGTCAGAGGGAGAAGCAGGCTCCCCACCGAGCCAGGAGCCCGATGTGGGACTCGATCCCAGGACTCCGGGATCATGACCTGAGCCGAAGGCAGTCGCTTAACCAACTGAGCCACCCAGGCGCCCAGTGGCCATCCAGTCTTGATGCTGAAGCTCTCCCAGCCTGGTCTCCTTCACGCCACGATGGCCTGCGACATTCTGGCCCAGCAGGGTCCCTGCAGACTCCTTTTCTCCTGGATGGGTCACACGAGCAGTTACCGTTGGCATCTGTGTCCAGGCTGGGTCCGTACTCAGGGTGGGCCTGGCCTGGGGGAGTGGGAAGGGCACCGCGAGGTTGGGTGCTCGGAGCTGCCTGGGCCCACCCCTCCTGGTGCCAGATGCCCTGAAAACATCCCGTAGCAGAGCCTGTGTCCCCCACTCCGGGACACAGCAGGCCTAGCGTGGCCCCTCAGCTGCCTGCACACTCGCTCGAACCCCGGCCTGAGGTGGCCCTGCCCCACGGAGAAGCCTGCCTCGTCCACTGCTGGTCTAGGGGGTCTCCACCCCTCCACCACCGCCATGCCACCCAGGGCCTCTCGGTGACAGCCACGTCACGCCACACCACACAGGCTGTGCTGGGGATCAGAGACCCGTGCTTCCAGCTCCTGCACGGAGCCCCCCACGTCTGCCAGACAGAAGCAGGGACGCCAAGAACCAGGAGCTGGTGGGCATGAGGCTGTGGGGAGCCAAGCTGCTAGGTGGCCAAGGAGGCTCTGGGGATGTCCATCAGACGCCGGGCTATGGGCCGGCCGCACAGGCTTTAGCCCCTGGGAAAGGAGACATGACCACAGTGGCAGGGGGGACCCGGAGAGAGCCGGGCGGGGGTCCCAGGCCTCGAGGTGGCCCCGAGGTTACTGTGACATTAAATGTTGCGTCCAAGATGCCCGTTTTCCTGACAAAAATAACTCCTTTAACCCAGTGAGATCTGAAAGCCCTAATTTTGAAAAGAATGGCGAAGACACTTTGGACTTATTTGAATCCTGCACTTGATGGAGCCCCCTCTCTCCCTGGCCCGCCCCCATCTGCCGGGCCCACCCCAGAGGAGCCACCATGGTCTGTGGCAGGTGGGGGCAGCGCGGCGAGGCCCTGTGCCTCTCCCAGCCACACACCCAGGGGGGTCAAGGGGCTTCGGGGCTGCACAGACAGACTTGGTTCCACGCTGAACCTTCCGTCCAGCCTGCTCTCCCCAGACGGGCCAGCACGGTCACGCCCAGCTGCCCCCGGGGTGGACAGGGTCAGGGGCTCAGCCGTGTCTCCAGGCAGTTCCCCGAGGGATGGTCTGGAATGTGCGCAGGAAGGTTAAGGAGATGCTGACGGTCAGGCACTCACTGCAGACTTGGGGGTTCTCGTCCCGCCACGTATCCGTCTCTTAAGTGTCAAATTCTGCCAAAACACAGTTACGTCGAAGTCAAAGGTGAGGCACAAACAGGGTGCGTGCGCATACGTGTGGGTCCTTTGGTTCATCCGGTTCCCCTGCCCAAGGCTGTGCGGTGACCGATGCGGCTCCGAGGGACCCAAGGTCCGCTGGGGGTCCTGGGGGGCAGAGCCAGGGCTCCGCCAGAACGCCGGCCATTTCTTTTTTTAAAAAATTGAGATGTAGTGCACATACCATAAAATTAAAACGTACAATTTAGTGCTTTTTAGTGCATTCACAGAGCTGCGTTTCCATTGCTACTGCCTAGTTCTCGAACATGTCGCGGGCCCTCCCCACTGTCCACTGGCAGTCCCGGCCCCCCCTCCTGCTCCGGGGTCCGCCCGCTTCGGACGTCCCGCGGGAGTGAACTCCTAGGTCGTGACCTCTGCGGTGTCTCTTCCCTCCCTCAGCACGACGTTGGCACGGTTCATTATGTTGGAACACGTGTCATACTTGGTTCCCTTTTCCGGCTGAACAATATTCTGTTGTGTGTCCAGAGCACGTTTGTTCGCCCATCCGCCCGTCCACGTGATGTGACTTCCACCTCGTGGCTTTTGTGGACAGTGCTGCTCTGAATGCCGGCGTACATGGCTCGTGAGCACGCGCACACCCAGGACCGCGGGGTCCCGTGCACGTGCCACGTCCGAGTGGGTGGGGGGCCGCCAGCCGGGACGCCACCCCCATCAGCGCACTGTCCTCGCCGACGCTGGACTTTGTGATCTGAGCCACCGTCGTGGGTGGGCGGTGGTCCCACGGTGGATTTGATCTGCATTTTGGGATGAGTGAGGGTGTTCGGCATCTCCTCATGGGCCTGTCGACCATCATCTCACGTCGCCTGTGGAGAAAGGTCTGTTCGGATCCCTTGCCTGGTTTCTGACTTGGGTCGTCTTGTGGTTGAGTTGTAAGAACTCTCTGTATGATATGGCTGCTGGACTCTTCCCAGGCACGGAATTTACTGTATTTTCTCCTCTCTGTGAGTTGTCTTTGTTTTCTTGATGGTCCTGTGTTGATCAAGTGCAGTTTCTCTCTCTGCCTTTGCTCGCTGTTGGTGTCACATCTGAGAATCCAGTGCCGAATCCAGGGTCACGGAGGCTTCCCGTGTCTTTGGAGTTGGGTGCCCTGGCAGCACCTGGCCTACAGTGACCCAGCTGTGCCAGCACCATTTGGTGGAGAGACCATTCTTTTGTTAAACTGTCTGGGGACCTTGGTTGAAAATCAGTTGCCACAAATGTTAGGGTTTACTTCGGACGGCCCCCAGGTTCTTTCTAGCTGTGGACTCGGGGTCCGTTCCCCGGTGCGGAGATCCAGGCCCGGGCCGGGCTGTTGCCCCAGGGTGTCCGGGCTTCTGGGGACGTGTAACCCGCTGTTTGCCGACTGGCTTTTCCAGTCACACACAGACATGGTTGTCACCGTGCAGCCCCGGATGGAGCAAGGAGCCGAGGGTAGAGCCTTTGAGGGATGTTCCTGCGTGTGCAGGAAGGGCATTGCCAGAAACCTGGGCCCTGATAACTCCGTTCACTTCCACTCGAGACAGGCTGGGGACAGGCCCGTGGGGTGGCATCCTGTCAGCAAGGAGGGGCCCTTTGTCTTCCCAGGGGCCGTGTACATCTGCACGGAAGATGTCTTCCCCAGCGTGCGTCTGCAGCAGCTCATGGCTCAGCAGCGGCGCCTGCGGACAGACGTGCCGGGAGACGTGGTGGAAAGAATAAAATTTGGCAACCAGATCTTCATTGAGCACGTGGCCGACGTGGTGAGTGTCTCTCTGGCCCTGAGTGCCGAGGGGAGGTCGGTCCAGTGGGCAGGGCCACACACGAGACCCCGGGCCACCCCCAGTACCCGTCGGCAGAGACACGTGCCCACGCACGTGGGCCACACATTCAGAGCCACACGATCTGGTACCTGAAATTCCAGCTGGACCAGGCATCCTGTGGGACTCGTCACCCCCACGCACAAGGAGTGGGGGAGGGCGGTCCCGCGGGCGCAAGGGTGCCCAGCACGGCGCCTCCTGCCCTGACCCACGCCCCCGGCCATGGTGCTCAGTCCCCTGGAAAAGGCCGCAGCTGCAGGGGACACCTCCTGCCGGCCACCCTGTGGTGCCCCCTGCCCACACGACATGGCCTGCGGTCCAGGCCAACCGTCCCAGCCACAGCAGTCCGTGCTGGGTTTTATTTCTGCCTCTGGCAGAGCAGAAAGCCCCCCATCAGGGCACAGGAGCCCTCCCCCCCCACAACCCGGCCAGGGCCTGGCAGGTCCCCAGCCCCAACAAGCCCCTCAGATGGCTGACTGCCACTTGGCCACAGCACTCGGGGGACAGATCTGGAAGCATCAGCAAGTGACAATGTCCCTGCCGGTGCACGGTGAGCAGTGGCGGGAACCCCCAGGGAGGGGACAAAGGGCTGGGAGCTGAGGGCAGGTCGCGCAGGCAGGGGGAGCGGTGCTGTGGCCCGGCCGGCTGCCGCCGTAGCGCACTGTGGCAGGGATGGAGGACGGGAAAGGACCGCAAGGAAAGGTGGCGAGTGAGGATAAAGCAGTACACCGGAGGAGAGTGAGTAAGGCCTCTGCGTGGGGCCGGCTCCCGGGCACATCAGCACCGGCTGGCAGAGCCCCCCCGATTCCGGGGGGCCTCCCCCCACGTAAGGATTGTTACAAAAATTGCAAGCAAAGGGTAAGGTATATAAACTTTTAATTTTTAAAAACTGTACAATGAAACCTATCTCACACAGCTTGGGGAAGTAGCACGGTAAGCTCCGGCCCACGGGGCCCGCAGCCACAGCAGCCACGGCCTCTTCCACAGAGGGTCAGGACACAGGCGGCCTGCGGGTCTCCCGGGAAGCGCAGCCCAGGAGGGAGGCCGCGCCCACCCCGCCGTCCTGTAGGGGCCAAGCGTGGCCATGGCTTTGCGAGCGACACGCATCCTGACGAGCAGTGCAGTTATTAGTAGGACAGTGTGCTCCATGGCACGGGGACACGGGATTAGACGAGGTTAGTGCTGCAGGCTCCTGGCTCCAGGGCCCTCCAGCCTCGGTGGCTGTCCCCTGGCTGTCACAGGGCTGCCTCTGGCGGCACACAAGCAGCGTCGTCCTGGGTCTTCCAGGCTGGGGGTGGCTTCACTGCGAGAGAAAACCGCCGTCAGGGCCAGGGCCGCCGAGAGCCCCACGGTGGCCTAAGTGTGGTTCCGAAGACAGTTCTGGGGGCAGAGGGCTTCCACCCTCTTGCCCAGTGTCGCCAGGAGGCCGGGGGGGGTGGTCAGCAGGGCCTCCCCACCTGCCCAGCCCCCCCCCCACGGGGATGGGGACTGGGGGGGGACTCACATTACCGCTGGCGTCCTCGAGGCCACTGCTGTTGTCATTTTCCACAGAAAGAGGCTCTACTGGAGACGCCCTAGAGACGGAAGCACAGACGGGGCTTCACTCAGGGTGGGCCAGCCGGCCGTGGTCACGGCACCAGGGCCCGAGTCACAGCCCCAGGGCAGACGGCTCCAAGGGGCAGGCCTGAGGCCCTGGAGGATGGCTGGGGCAGTGGGGGGCCACTGCCCCCGGCCCCCTGCTTGGACACAGCCCCGGGGGGACTTCACAGTACAGGCGGCCCCACCCCCACTACCTCCTTCCTCCTTCCACTGGGGGTTGCTGGGTGGCCCCACACCCGCCTGGCAGGAGTGTGGTCTCCAGGACCGTGGCGGTAACAAGTCGGCCTTGCGGTGTGGCTGCGTCCAGGGTCAGTGCCTGGCATGGGGCCACGGAGGGAGAAAGGCCCGGTCACAGTGATGGCCCCACGTGCTGTCGGCCCCACCAGAGACTTGAGAAGTAAAGGGATGGGTGTGTGAGGGGTCCCTCGGCACAGGGCAGCCGGGGAGACGCCAACAGCACGGGCGGTGACGCCACCCCCCTCGGCTTCCAGGACACCCTCCTGGAGTGTGTGAGGAAGAAGGTGCCCGTGCTGCTGTCTCGGGGGGTGGCCCGTTTGGTGGTCATTGACTCCGTGGCCGCCCCATTCCGCTGTGAGTTTGATGGCACGGCCTCGGTCCCCAGGGCCAGGCGTCTGCAGGCACTGGGGGCCACCCTGCGCCGGCTGAGCTGCACCTTCCAGAGCCCGGTGCTGTGCATCAACCAGGTGGGTACCCTCCCCCGCCCCCCGACGGCAGATGTCCTCGGCATCCATCTTAAGGAAGCAGCTCGGGAAGGGCAGAGCCAATCACGCCAGGGTGGGCAGCAGTGGGGTCCTCGCTGCAGCTGACCCCAGTCTGCACATTCCAGGTGACAGAGGCCACAGAGGATCAGGGCACAGCACCTGGGCCACAGGGGTGAGCACCACCTCCCCATCCCCCCCCCCCACAGCAGGAGGGCCGCCCAAGTAGCAGTGGGACCCCTGTGGTTTTATAAGTAACGGTTGGGCCTGTTTTCTCAGTGTCTGGGACGAGCGGGTTTCTCCAGCTCTCGGAATGACCTGGTCCAACCAGCTCTTAATGAGACTGATGGTCAGCCGGCGCCACCCCGACCGTACCCTGAGGGTGGTCTTCGCCCCTCACCTGCCCCCCTCGTCCTGTTGCTACACAGTCAACGCAGAGGGAGTGCGAGGGACTCCTGGGACCACGTCCTGCTGACACGGCAGCTGTGGAGCAGCCGGCCAGGTCAGCCGCGGGTTCTGGCTGAGCCTTCCACGCTCTGCGGGCACGGGGGACCGACAACTCCACACACCCATCGCTGGGTCAGGATGTGCTCGAGGGTGTTGGCTGCACCTTCTCCACGGCAGGGAGGCAGTGCACACGGATGAGCTGCCCGCCGAGGCCTCCCCACATGCCCCATGCCCCCCCGTGCTCACCATGCTGCCTGGCACAGTGGGTCCGGGACCCCCTCACCACAGCTCACTCTGCCAAGCTCTGCCCTAAGTAACTCCTCCACATTGATGCAAGTCTTCTCCCCAGCCCCTGGGGATGGGGAGTTGCCATCCTTGGTCTCAGTGACACTGAGGCACAGAGCAGTCCAGTGACTTGGCCATCCCCCCGACGGCTCCATGAGCCAGACACTGACCCCGGGCTGGTGCCAGGAAGAGAGGCACACGCCTGACCCAGTACTGGGGGTGGAGGCAGAGGTCCCTGGAACTGGGCAGACTGTTTGAACATTTTCTAAAGCAGAAGCATTCATTTGTAATTTCTATTGCCTGGTTAAAATAGTCTGTGGCCCTCAAAAGGGTAAGAATGGCTGGTATAAACAGGAAAAAGGTCTTTTAGGGCTGCAATTTTATAAAAGCCTTTCTGCAAGTGCAGGTTCTTCACACTAGGAAATAAACCATTTTATTTTTGTAATTAAATAATAAATAATCCCAAATTATTTTCTAGGCAAATCACACTAACAGTGAGGAAACTACAATCCAAGACAGAGTGTACACGTGGCAGACCCCTGGGGGGGGTGCACACCAGTGCTGGGGCCCCTGCCCACCCATCCCAGAGGGACAGCCCTGCAGCAGGGCGGTCTCTCTGTGACACGGACGGCCCAGACCCCCAGGCCCTGCCCCACCCCCTCCGTCCCACGCACTCCTCAGCACTGTCAGGCAGGCCTCGCAGGCCTGGTGTGTCCCCCCCGCCCCCGAGGGTTCTCCCCCAGGACGATGGGGACAAATGTGGCACAGTGCGCATCTCCAGGCCTGTCCCTGTCACACACACGGTGCCAGTACACCCTGACGAGCCACCTCCGCTCATGGGAACCTCACCCTCGGTCGCTGCTCTCCCACTTTATAGAGTTTTCAGAAGTTTGAGGACCATACAGTGCACTGCTCAGAAGGAAGTGCAAATATAAACATCTCAGAGTATAGCCTCAACTATGCCGCATGCTTCCCAAGAACATTCCACAAAGTTATAACGATGGGCAATCTGTTCTATGAACTGTAAACAATGTATTTTTTAGCAATATTTATGTTACCATAAACACTGAATTTCTCATTACATGCTATTTCTAGCAGCTTTCTGAACAAACAAATGATAGGAATTTTTTAATTCCAGGAAATAACGGACTCCCCCCCGATACTGTAAACACAAAGCAAGCACCACAGAGACAGCCCGCTGGCCCCGTGAGCTGCCGGGTCGGCTGCATGGGCAAGAGCCGGGAGGGTCAGGAGGCCCAGGCCTGCCACAGCCTCCATCCTGACGACCCGTGGAGGGGGCTCTGCGGACCGTGGCCAGCTCCTGTCCCCCTCCTGTCTGTCTGCTGGCTGGGGACTCGAACGGGACAGGAACGATGTACAGTGGGTGCCAATGCTCTAAGGGTCACCTCACCAAAAAAGGAAAACGTTGCGGACGAGGGACAGCTACCCCCACTGCTTCTCTCTTCGAGAATGTTAAAATCCACACAAGACTGGAATGAAGTAGTGATAACCAGGCTCATTTCTGTTTTGATACAAGTTCAAAAATCAGACAGCACAGATTTCCAGGCAGTGTCCCCTGAGACAGGAAGGTTTCTTACGACCTGGTTTAAGGAGGCCGCCTGGCTTCTCTCAGCCCGGCCACATTTCCTCACAGCCCCACAAGGCAACGTCGGCCCTCAGAGAGCCAAGCGGGGCGGTCTGACCAAGGCCCCTGCACGGTGGCCTGTCCCCACCACCTCAGAGTGCAACGTTAAATCCTGTCCTCAGCCCCAAGTTCTCCAGACCGAAGTGTCACTAAGGGAAACTGGGTAGGTTTCCGACGTACTGGATCCACTTCGTGGCCCGAGGAGCACTGGGGATGGAGGGGAGGGGGCAGCTCCCGGGGCCCTCCCCACCAGCCACATCACACCCCGACAGCCCCTGCACCTCGAAGGGAAGTGCAGAGCGCAGAGTGCCTCTGCGGGGACACAGCTCACGCGTTCCCTTGGCTCGAGTGTCTCACAACCCATCCCACGTGTAAACCAACTCTGGAGAGCGTTTACAAAGTCAGTCCCTGGTCCCTCGGAAGCTGCAACGCCGGGCCAGTCAGGCACTGCGGAAAGAGGCCAGACGCCGGGCTCCTGCAGGCAGGACACAGAGCGCCGGTCTCTGGGCGGGAACAAGCACATGGCACAAACACCGGCAGGCGAGGCCACGTGCTCCTGTGGTCTTACATGACGGGACGTTTCTGAACAGTTTCCAGCCTGCAGCCCCTGAAGGACACGCGCAGCATGTGGAGGCCCCCCAGGCGACCCCTCAGGGAGTCCCGGTGAGCACGTACCCCAGCAGAGTGCAGTTCAGGAGGGAGAGGTGGCTGAGGACAAACAAAAGCATGTACCCTTGCGGTGACACCACCGAACATTAACGTCACGAACAGCAGCACACCACGGGGACGCTCCGAGTTTCCCGATGCCCCTCATCTACCTGCTGCGTCTTCACACCCCCGCCCACTGGCCTGGACGAGGCCCTTCTTACCGCCGCTGCCACCAGGAGCCACAAACCCCTTGTCATCTGCTCAGGACGTTCTAAACCCACCCATGAGCCTCACGCATCCCCTTACGGGTAGGGCCCCGGTGGCCTGGGAAATGTTCCCGTCAAAACCTACCCCGTGTTACTTAATGCTACAAAAAAAAACTTTTTAAAAATAAATCCCGCATCTCTTCCTGCTCAGCACTCGGGCCGGCAGAGGGAAAACGGGCTCCACAGGGGCAGGCTCAGGAGCCCGCGGAGTGTCCGGCAGAGCCGTGGAGGGGCCACACTGCAGGAGCGGGACTCAGCAGAGACCCAGACCCACTGGCAAGTCACCCACTCTCTGAATTCCAGGCAGCACTGCCAGAGCTCATCAGATGCTTAGTCTAGAAGAGTGCAGCGTAAAGTTCCAGAGTCTCAATTTACAGCCTTAATACGGTATTAAAATTTAAAATTTAAAATCGATTCTGGTGTAATGGCAGGAAGTACAAGCATCCGTGAGCAGTGGCCGACTCTGAACGTGCTGAAGCCAGCTGCCGGGGCTGCAGTGGGCCGCTGTGGGCCGCCACGCCCAGCCGGTCTCACGCTCACACTTCAGCAGCTCTTGGTCGCTAGTGCCGCAGCCAGCTTAACAGAACTCGGGGCAAACCTCCACGAGGTGGTGGACGGCACTATCTAGGAAAGGAAGCAACCTGGGAGGTGGGTCCCCTGCAGAGCGGGGCGGGGCACGGCAAAGCTTGGAGGGTCTCGGTGCTTCGTTAGTCTCAGGGGGTTTATCTAGCTCTGCCTCGGCCCTCAGTGGGCCAGGTCAGGGTGGCTGGCACTCAGAGCTCACGAGTCTGCCAGACAAGTATTTTGTTCCTGCGTGAAAAAACAAATGGAAAAATTACACTTCACCCATACTCCAAAGGACGCCAGTGTCAAGGGGTCTCAGAGCTGTAACAATCACAGCGGTACACCTCTCACGTCAACACTCGGGCATCCTGATGCTCACGTGCACAGGGGCCAGCACCAAGGAGGAGTGCGGGACCCGGTCGACCCCAGACCTTTTGCGACAGCGACACCTCTTTTACTCTCACGAGCAGGCGCGCTCCAAGCGCACTGGCCAGCCCTACCGGTACCTCACATCTCACCGGAGGCCTGGCAGAAAGCACCCTGGAAACAGCCACCTCCTGCGGTGCTGGGGGCTGAGGAGGAAGGCCAGCTACCACCCGTGAGCATCCAAGAGGTGAGCAGCTGGGCCGGGGCTGCTAAGAGGTGCAACGGCCAGGACGGCTGGTCGGGGCAGACAAGCAATAACTGCTAAGTCAGAAGGTTCTCTTTCCCGTAAGCTCAGCGGCAGGCTCAGCTGCCAGGTCTGCTCGGCACCCTTGGCCGCACCCAACAGCCACACCCAACAGCCACACCAGACGTTGAAAAGCAACGGAAAATTAGTAAGAGAAGAAGGTGCCAACAGTTTTAAATGTGAAGGTGACAGGTTCGTGCAAGCCTTGGGACACCAGGAAAAGTGCTAAAGATTGGGTGTAAAAGTGACAATATGTCAGTTACATTAGTAAAGGTCTAATAGTTTTAAAACACTGAACAACAGCTTAACTGGACAATGAATTAGTTACAAACTTACCAGAGGCTAAAATCATACAAATTAATAATACACATTAAGTGACCAAGTTTTGATATTACTTTATCGGAATATTTAAATTTTAATTAGCTTAATCAAACTATTCAAAGATCATGAATATACTGAGAATGTCCATGATATGCACATTCCCACAATTTACGTAATCAAATTAATGCAGAATCCAGAAATATCGTTATGATGCCTCTTTCTCTAAGACCCAGAAAATACTCAAGTGTTCCCAAGACCATCGGAGGCTGCAGTGGTGCCCGGGAAGGGCCTGCGGCCACCCAGCTCCCTAAGCTGGGTAGTCACGGGCACTGAGTGGGGCAGGGCTCCTTACTTGGAAATGGTCTTCAGCGGCCTTGCCGCCCACGTTAAGGACATTCAGGGAACTGGCACGCTTCATGCTGCAAACAGGGCAGTGGACATGCAAAAGGACAAACCAGCGTGTCAGTCAACCAGAGCGGCAAACAAAGCAAAGACACCCCCAAGGCCTCTGTCACGGGGTGGGCATCCCTCGTGGAGAGCGGGCCTTTCTCTCTCGGGCAGGCGTGTCTGCCCAGTTCTTAACACAGACGCCCCAGGTCTATCCATATTTAAAGTTCAGTAGAGGAAAAGCACAGTTTCTCTGCATCTGTCTCAGCAAAGTATTTGTCTTAAATACTATGTGTAAATTCCACGTGTCCTCATCCGTTCACAATTTGAAGCCTGGCTCGTGGAGGAGCCAAGAAGCTCTGCCCGCGCAGCCCTCTGGCTGGGCCTGAGTCTGCAGGGCACGACAGATCAGTTTTAAGAAGGGAGCCTGGAGCCTCCTCCAAAACCCACCACTCACCCTAAGTGACCATGTGAAAGAGAGAGACCCCTTGAAACTCAGTATCTACATATATTCGTGTACTTTAGGTATTTTTATATTAAATTTTATATTAAAAGGAAAAATAATTATTTATTAGCAAAATACACTAAGAGTCTGATTTCTCTGCTTAGAAACCAAAATTTAAAACAAATTTCACGGCTTTACCTTTAAGGAAATCTAGTGATTTAAATGTGTACTTACTTTCTTCTCCCACTTGACACCTTTAAAATACTTGATGAAATATCCTGCAAATAACCTAAAACCTAAACTTAAATGATAGTCATAAAGGTACTATCATTGCTTACCACCACCAGGGATGCCTTCAAACAGTAAATCACCTTAGCTTTTAAAGTTAAAATAACTGACATTGTTATTTTTAAGTATTTGCAACAGGAACTATAATAATAAATTTGAACTACCTACGACATACATAGTACACACTAGTATTCGCTCTGTGAGCTGAAGGCACGGCTGTGAGGCCGAAGCACAGGCATGAGGGGTTGGCACAACCAGACACAAACGCACCAGAAACGGGCACTAAGGCCGCGGCCACCACCGAGTGCCCAGCAGCACCGTGGATGGGCATAGCGCCTGGCAAATGGCAGGTACTGACCAAGTTCTCACTGAATGAACTACACCAAAAACAAAAGACCTTAATTCACTTAAGCTCAAGTAAAATTCACTCCCAAAATGCCCGAACCAGGACAAACACAAACACAACAACCCCATGTATCCTACGTAAGTGCTGCTAGAATTCTGAACAAGTTTTCTCTACACAGCACTACTCAAGAACAAAGGATAAAATCAAACCAAATCACACTGGCACACTTAATTATTGTTATTTAAGTGGCCAGTGGACTTTTTCTAAGAGAGTTATACAACCCTCTTCCTCAAACTCTTTCCCTTACAAGATGAAAGTAAAAACAATTTGACTCCTGCTAGTAGGTCTCCCCTTGACTCTGCAAGCTGCACCCACACCCTTCCCTTACACCATGGGGTATGAAACAGGAAGAATGCCGAGTTTGGTGGTTCTCAAAATGTTGTCTTAGACCAGCAGTGCGGGCACTAGCTGCGAACATGCCAGAAAAGCCAATGCTGTGAGAGGTGAGGAGTGCAGACCCACTGCACCATAAACTGAAGGTGGGGGCCCAGCAGTCTGTGTTCAAACGCTCCAGAGACGCTGATGCTCAGGTGTGAGAACCACTGGCCCAGTGAATAAACGCAGTTACTCTTACCTGGACAGATGATTCAGTTTTATGCATTTTTATGGGATAAAATTTCTAGAGCCATTTCAGTTTTCATCAAGTTCAGTAAGGTACCATCTCCAGTACTACACGTGACAACGTGTGCGCACGTGCGTGGTCAGCGCCACGCCAGGGAGTGTCCGCACAGCTACGTCACAGCCGAGACAGGAAGAAGGCACAGGAAGGGACAGAAAACTTCTGAGCTCTGTCACATGGGAAGGAAGGGCCACGTCATAGGACTCAGTGCCAGAACTGGATTCTGCATTTAAAAAAAGCTTCAAAACCTCCAGAACCTCCAATAGCTAGTGTGTTTGCCCTGGAGGAGCCAAATTATGGCGTGTGGAGAGCACTTCCGCTCATCAGATCCAGCCCAGGAACATAAACTAGGCGACTATTCAACAGTCTGTTCGGATCCTTGCAATGTGGCCAAAAAAAAAAAAAAAAAAAAATTCATCTTTCCAAAATTTGGTGAGGCAGGTAGTTGACCTATCATTTAGTTCTGTAAATATTTTAAAACAAGCACTTTATCCCAAAGGCAACTTCCTGGATGCACATTCATCTGTCGGGCCGCAGGCTGTGGTACAGACAGGGTAGGACGGCAGTCTGCTGCTCAGCCCTACATCCTTCCAGAAGCCCCAGCTGGCTTTCAACACTGCACCTTCCAGGCAGTGTCACAACTAACATGTGTGGAGCTCATTAAGACTCCCTCTACAGAAACAGGCATAGAAACATCCTTGAGAAGCAGGGCGACGGCCACCTATACAAATCAAATTGCTTGTCCTGCCTCACAAGCCATCAAAAAATGTGTGCGTCCATCAGCAGAGACGCCTGGGGGGACAGGGCGGACAGCAGACCTGGGCCTCTGCTCCCCAGCTGGGGGGCTGAGCCTGCAGGGCAGCACCGGGGAGTCCCAGGGGTCTCAGGAGCTATGCCTTCACTGACAGAGACAAGAACGAGACTGGACACCCCTCAAAACAACACAGGAAGCAGCTGGAAGAGCCCCTAACCTCAGGTTTCCAACACATCGTATGAAGGGACCCCGCTTCCCAGTCTCAGCAGTGGGAGACTTCTTGCCCACAGAAGGGAAAGTGGAGTCACCTGTACAACAGAGTTTTACTCAGACTCAATCTTTAAAAAGAAGGCACCACTTAGGAATTCAGAGTTTCATGGAACAGCTGACGAAACAGTGCCTCTGTGAGAAATGCATCCCAAACAAGATGCTGTTTACATTAGAAATAACCCAGAAACGGAGGCAGATTGTTAACACTCTGGTGCGCCTTATAAAGAACAGAATACCTCAAAACCAAATTCCTTCGACAACGTCAATGTTATTGTTCAAAAGACTCTAAGACTCATGAGTGCACCCTCTTTTAAACACATGGAAAATGTGGGTTTTTTTTAAATTCTAAAGAAACTCCTTATACTAAAGGCCTGAAACTGTAATCCTTCTATTTAAAACATTATTCTCCCTACATTAATACCTGTGAGTCTCATATAGTCATAGCTACCGTTATGATTTTAAAAGGATTATCAAAACTAATTTTAAAGGATTTAAACTAATGCTAATTTTAAAAAAGAAACAGCAGCTATCTGGAGTAAACACATGAATGTGCTCAGTGTTCTCATACGAAGCTCACACTTGTCACTGCTAAGGCTTTCTCTGAACACGCAACAACAAAACCACAGACTTCCACAGGTTTGTTTGGAAGGCCCCCGCCCTTCTAGCCCCTCCACAGGAAGCTCCACAGTTCCTTCTCAGGAAGTGAAGAGACAGGCCGGGAGCTGCTCCAGCCCCAGGGCAGAGATGTGAGGAGAAGCGGGGATGGCTTGGGAAGGAAGGGCCACTGGATGCCGCGCGGCGGGGCGGTCAACAGGGGCCGCAGATAGATAATTACCCGGGGTTCTTTGGCTCACTCTCTCGAGAACTTCCTCCCTTCAGCTTCCTAACCAGCTTCTCACTGCTGCGTCTAATTGAAGCCCGGAGTTTGCTAAAGGAACCACTGCGCTTTAAAGATCCAGTGCCATCCTGAAAGAAACGTGAACACATGTGAAACTGCAGACGGTCCTCTCCCGGCCTCCCGAGAAGCAAAGCTGAATGAAAACAAGAATTCACATCATGGTTGACCTACTTGTCTGTGACTTGCAGGCAATACAGTTGCTACAGAAATTACCAGTTTGCCATGTCTATAAATACACTTTAAATAGAAATCTATCCATTTTAAATTTCAGTCAAGACAATCCAATGATCATGAAAAACCTCTGAACATGAAGAAGTTCAAACAAAAAATAATATCCCCAAAAATCTTATTGCTGTTTTGAAACAAAAAAGGTCACACACAGAAAGAGTCCCAAGAAAATTAAAGCTGCTTCTTGGAAGATCACCAAAATCAAATTCTACGTTCAGTAAGAACAGAAGCATCTGGTCCACATAACTGCTGGACCCAACCACTGAGAGATGACACAACTTTTGTGTATATATACTACTTACATGTACTGCTTCCTCAGTAAATTTCATTTTTTAACTATTTATTTATTTACGTATGTAAGTAAGTAAGTAAATATTCTCTACACCCAGTGTGGGGCTTGCACTCACGACCCTGAGATTAAAAGCTGCACGCTCTCCCGACTGAGCCAGCGCCAGCCAGGCGCCCCTTTAGTAAATTTTTAAAAAGCAGTTTTATTAAATGTTGATTTTAAGTGTGGTTGGAAAATTAAATAAAATGCTCATCCCATTAAAACCCCTCTGACACCTTGTAGGAAGCAAGTAAAAAACTGTCCAGCTTTCATCGTAACTGGCCCAGGCATTAACAAGTGAAACACTTGGCAGTATCTGAGTATGAAAATCAAACGCAGAGAGTGAAAAAAATGTGTCTATAAGCAACTTCTATTCTCAGAATGAATCACTTAGTGAGATTAACAGTAGCCCCATTCCTTCAAGAAGCTACGCAATGCCGCATTCCATGGAAAGAGTGAGAAGTTCTACTAGGCAGACAGACACCAAGACACGGGTCAGTTGGAGTGAGTTTATTAGAAGTTAGAAAGACACAAATACACAAATCACCGAACACTTAAAGATTAGTGGAGAAAAGCAAAATTGCCAAAATGTCACAGAGACTACACAGCAAACGCTACTGGAGTGAGATCCTAAGGGGAGAGCCCGGGGTGCGGGTGACCCCGCCGGGTCTCAGAGGACAACGGGAGCAGCACATGCCCTACCCCTACAGCCTAGCTAGTTCAATGGTCACGGTCATGCCACAGCATTAACACCTGCGGGAGACTTCTAACTACCTTTGATCAAAGTGAACTAATCGCTCTTAATTCTTAAACTCATGTATCACACAGTAAATGGTTTTTATTAACACAGTTTATATTACTAGGTACATATCTGGCAGAGCTACATGTATACAGAGATAAGGAACCCCCCAAAAAGGACAGCAGCACCGAAAGGAATGGCCAGTCACAGAGAGGTGGCGCTCTGACAAGAATCCTAGGGGATCGCTAAGCACAGCAGTCAGCACTGGAGAGAGAAGTAAAAGCCGGAGGAGGAGCCGCCCGTCATGCAGGAGACAGTGTGAACGTCACATGAGGCAGCTAGGCCTGTCAGACAGAAACGGAGAGAGAGAGCCCAGTGAAACCGTTGTGAGAACAGAGCCAGCCCCCACTGACCACAGCGTGGCTTACAGTATTTCTAGGTCACAAATCTCAGCAGCGCTTTTAATCGCTTTAGTATCTGGGACGACCTCCCGCCTGCTTCTGTGAGCCCGTACCAAGAGGTACTGGGCCGGATGCTATCTTTTACATTATCAAGACTAATCACTCCTGATCATCAAAACAAAATTCCAGTCTCAGAGCATGGATTAGCCCTGTGCTGGAAATCTCCATGATACTTACTGTAACGATGTTTTCCAGTAACTGTACATAAAGGAGATTCCACACTGAGAAACATCGACAGTGACCGAAAGAAAGGCTCCACATAGGAAGAGGCCATTCATTAAACCTTTACCTTCATCAGAAATCGTTTTATATCCCTAAACTATAAAGTTCTCTCTGAAATCAGGGAGGACTTTCTCTTAAAAGCACTAACAGTTTAGAGAGTTCAGAAACTTGAAGAAACCACTGACTTTAGAAGTCTTTAGCACATTTTAAACATGCAGTTGATAATCCATAATAAGATTAATTCTAGAAAACGGATTTCCACAGGCAGCAGTGCACCCCGGGTCTCAGCAGACTGGAACCCCAGTGGTCTTGTATGAAGCCCCGGACAGCGAGGACCGAGCCCCCGCCCGCTCTGACTCACCATGGGACGCTCAGCAAGTCATTTAACCAGCCCGAGCTTCATTTTTCTCATCTTTAAAATGGAAAAATAAGATTTGTTACCAACTCCCCACGAATGTTGGGAGGACAAGAAAACATAAGTTCTTGTTGCTCTTACAGAAAAAGGACATTAAACTGTTAATTCTGCAAACAGTACAACTCCCACAGTTCATTTCAGGATTCATTGCTACACTACGGCAGTGTTACTTAGAACATTCCTGTCTGGCCACTCAGCAGACTATGGGAGAGTGACCAGATTCCAGAAGTACTTCACGTGAAACACACACACACACACACACACACGCTCCCCCTGCCCAATCCCTCACCCCTGCAGCAGCAGGTGCACAGGAGCTGGGCTCCAGAAGCAGCACCTCGCTAGGGAAGGGGGGTGGATGGAGCAGGCTGCCCACCCTCTCCTGGCACTCGCCCTCCAGAACCAGTGGGAACAACAGCAGAAACCCACCCCAAACCCTGGTGGATTTCTATTCAGTAAGAGCTGGAGGGTTGGGAGGTCTCCTGCATTGTAACTCTTTCAAAAACAGTCTACTGGTTTATATTGCCATGAAATACTTACATCAAAAAAGTGGGTTTCTGAACAGAAATGAATAGTGTAGTGTATTGGCTAAGAAATGCATGGCAACAATTATGATCTATAGAGTTCAGGTGATTTATTCTTTATTTTTTCTTTGCTATATTCTAGTTGTCTTCCTAATATAATTTTTTAAAACTAAAACTTTATTTCTAATTAACAGCATATACCATCCCATTCCTCAGTCATCTTGGGCAAGAGTTCAGTGTCTTTGGAAAACAAGCCCTAACACGGGGTGCGGGTGGGGCAGGCTCCTGCTGAAGGGCCCCGCAGGGAACTGGCAAGTCGGCAACAAAAAGGTCAGAGTGGAGAAGACGGACAGAATGGAGGACATGATGTTTCCTGGGGCCCTAGAGGGACGGCTGCAAGTGTGATCACTTCATCACCACGCAGCGCAGGGCTCCCACGTGTGCGAGGGGCCCAGGCTCCAGGGATGGCCCCAGCAGCCCTCGGAGGGGATGACAGCCATGTGCACAGAGGGTAAAGGGAATCCAAGCTAGCCAGAAAGGACTCCTCTGCACACAGCATTTGCGCTTTTAGCGGGACCAGAAAAGAGAACTCAGACCTTGACAATGACTTTCAGCTCTGCGTACTATTTATGAAAAATAAGTTTGAGGAAGTTACATTTTAAAGTCCTTTAATCACCATATTAATAGTATATATTTTATTAGAACAGAATTGCACTTCTCTAAGAACTTGATCCGGAAATTTCATAGGAATGATTACAGTATATTCAGTAACCCTACTTTTCTTGTATTTTAACAGCATGGAAATCTGTGCTGACCTAGACTTTCCCCATCAGCAGGGCACGATTGGAACCTAGACTGCCTGACCTCTGCCCACACTGCTCACTGTTTTACATGTTATTTCTGAATGCTGGGACCAATCACACCCACTCGGTCTCACATACACGGCTGTGGCAATGGAACGGGACTGCTGTCCTCCCCACTGAAAGAGCAGTGCCCCACATGGCAACACGATGCTTCTCCCTACAGTAGTTTTTAAACTTTTTAAAGGGCACTGAAACCCTTTTTTAAAAACTTAAAATCTAATGCAGAACCCCAATATAAGATAAATCTAGGTGGCATTTTCTCATGATAAATGTGTAATGAGTTCTTAGAATAACATAAACCAGTAAGAACAGCGAAGCCACCTTTACAGAACCCACAACTTGAAATATCAAATTACAGATGACAAATCTAGCCCCTGACACCTAAACTCCCAATCCGTTTCCAGTTGATCTGGACTGCCCGGCACCAGAACCTTGCTGCGCACAGATAAATGGTGGTTGTGGGCGACAGCCATTCCCAACCATGTGCCTTATCATTGCAGGAACTCCTCACTCCCACTCTGAGGGCCTGAGACATTTAGTCTCACACCTGGACAAAGACTAACGTGGGGGCTGCAGTGTACATTTGAACTGAAACGGACACTTAAAGTGGGCTCCTTTAGTTGGCTCCTTTAGTCCATACCTACACCTCAGTCAGGTTGAGGAGTGCACACTGCCTGTGTTGCCTCTTCTTCAACAATCACAGTGTGCTTTGAAAATGAAAATTCCAACCAAATGTCGGGAGAGCTCAGCACCAGCTTCTCAGAACCGGAGAGCCAGGCCTTCCTGCGTAGGCAGGGATGGGCTGAGTCTGAGCAAGGGCCTCAGGGGCCTGGCAGTGAGCACACCAGCCCGGGCGGCTATCCCCCGGGTAACCTGGGCAGTTCTAGAGTCACCTGCTGCTTGATCTCAGACTCTCTGTGAAGAAAGGGCCCCTTCTGCTGCTCAAAGCGAGTATGGAATCACTGTACGGGGTGACCTAAGATCTGGGATCTAGATTCTTTCATCTAGTGGACCACTGCCAACTGATGAGCCCTGCGATGGATTCTGTCAAAGACGCAAAGCCTCTAGCGTCCAAGAGTCAAGTAAAAAGGTGTCCCAAGCCCCGTATATGTGTCCTAAGTGAGAGCATGTCCAAAGCGAGAGAGGAAATGTGAAATGGAAGGAGGGCCAAGCGTGCACTCAGGGGAGGGACCGCTTCTGTGATTCCAGCAGCAGGCCTGACAGGAAGCCACCTACCAGCCCTCCACACTGAATGGAAAGCAGCTCTCTCTCACCCCTGAGTCTCAGTCTTGAAGATGGTAACAGAACTCTGCATTGCCAAGGATTTTATTATAGGATTGCACAGAAAGATTGACCTAGAAATACTGTCTCAAGAAAAAGAACTTCATTCAAGAGTGTCAAAATCTGCACCCTGGCTTCTACAGACTAGAGAAGGGACATGACCCTCTCCACAAGGCATGCAGGACAACAGGAATCATGGGGAGAGTACAGTACACAGTGTGGCCAGATGCGGGCAGAGGAGGGCCTAGCCATCATTGTTTATGTGTTAGACTGCTGCCCAATGGGAGAATGGTCAAAGCAGATGCTGATTGGTTGTCTTGGCACAGGAAACACCAAAGCAAGGCAGCTGCCAGATAAAGACAGTCAAAAAGATGCTCTCCCTGAAATTTTGGCCACTACCATTATTGTAGAAAATGTCTCATCCTTACCAAACCACTCCAGCTATTAGAAAATCCCAAAAATAAATACATTCAAAAAGATAGAGTATAGGAAAGCCCAAGATTACTATTTGGCAAAACATTTGCACAATTACCTAATCAAACTGCACCTACTGCAACTTCAGAAAAAAAAAAAAAAAATTGATCGTGCACCTAATCCTGCATTCAACTCTCCCTGATAAAAGCAGAATTCCAAAGACACCAGCTCAACGTACAAAAGTATTACCCATGTGTGACCAACATTCACTAGAAAAAAATGTCCAGGAGGCCACACACTCTTTGGCAACCACTGGATAAACAGCAGTGGTGAAAATCTCCATAAAGTCAAACCAGTGAAACCCAGAGGTAGAACCTGGCCAGGAGTGACGTGTTCCAAACATGGGCACGTGTTCTGGATCCGAAAACCTCTGGCAGAGGCCTGTGAAGAGAGACGAGCCGTGGGACCCTCAGTGGGAACAGGACATTCAGCACCGAGGTAGGCCATGCAGAGCAGCTGCCCCAGCCTGTTCTTCTCTAGAGACAAGCTCTGTTCGAAACATCATTTCCCTTTAAGAAATTTAAATTAATTCTCACAAAATCTACAGCAGCCTGGTCAGTGAAATTAGGAGCACTGGAGTTAGCAATGAAAATGGGTAAGTTAAAAAAGCGAGTTAGTTTTCTGCCACACTAATCCTAACATTAAAATAAAACCAGGTTATGGATTATGGCTCTAAATAACCAGGACACTCAATCAGCATTTAAGTGCTCAAAGTTAAGCCAAACAGCTTTCATGGGTTCCTAAAGAAAAGAAAATGACCACTTCAAACAAATAAGACTTCATTATTAGCAGAAGATAAGCACTTACAAAAAGCTTAATTCATACTTAATTTGAAAAAAGGACAGTGTCTAGCATGTAAGCCTGGAGGAAACTGCGGGACAGCACTCCTGCTGGGAGCCTGGCCCAGGCGGCCTCCCGGCGACAGACAAGCACCTGCCTGTGCACGCCGGCGGCTGTGTACTGTACTTACCCCGTTCCACTCTACGCTCATACTCACTTCCTCCCCTCCATCAGGGCCGCTCTCGTACTTGACCACGTCCACGTTCAGGCTCTCCCGGCTCCTGCGCTTCTCCATGTTCTCAGGGTCATTCAGCACTTCAGCTACTCTCTGTTTGTGAACATTGTCAAGACCCTGGGAGCCAGGCAAGGGGGAAAGGGTTGGAGCCATTAGAACTGAACTTTGATGAAGGATTTCTAAGACAGCTAAGCTTCACCCGGGGGAAAAAAAACCCAAAAACAGTTCTTAAACACAGAAGAGTGCTTCTCAGGAATATATACTTAAGACTTACGCATTTCACCCTCCGTAAAGTTTACGTCAAATTTAAAAAAGAAAACAAGTATTGGACTCCCCCGTGAGTGATTTGCACACTTGAAGTATTTACAAGGAAACGTACTGATGTATACAAATTTGAAATGCTCTGCCCAGAAAAGGCCTGGTGGACAGAGCGATGGAGGTGATGTGCCCGAGAGTAGTGAACATTCATGACAGGATCTGGGAGGCAGGCACACAAGCGTACAATTCCCTCCACTTCTCTGCTTGCAAGTCTCACAGAAGGATGCTGAGAAAATGCCTCAACACGCCCCCCCGCCCCCCACGTCAGGGAGTGAGGAGAGCTGCAAGCCCTCTCACTTTGGCAGGGAGGGCCCGCGCACACTTGAGCTAAAACATCGCTGAGCTGCAACACGGCAGAGGCTCCTCTCCGTGTGCGTTTCAGTTCGAATGACCCAAACGTAACACGTTCCATATTCTTTTTTTTTTTTAAAGATTTTATTTATTTATTTGAGAGAGAGAGAGAGAGATAGAGAAACAGCATGAGAGGGGATAGGGTCAGAGGGAGAAGCAGACTCCCTGCTGAGCCGGGAGCCCGATGTGGGACTCGATCCCAGGACTCCAGGATCATGACCTGAGCCGAAGGCAGTCGCTTAACCAACTGAGCCACCCAGGCACCCACACGTTCCATATTCTAAATGGGATTTTAACCCCAGCAGCTGGGGCAAGTACGGCACCTGTACCGACTTCCGTAGTTTCCTCCTCAAAAGGCACACCCCTCCAGCAGACGATGTACTGCTGTGACTTGACAGTAAGGCCGACTGTGGCCCCTCACCCGGCAGGAGGGCACCGTTCCCGGTAAAGCACAGACAACCTTCCTTTACATTTCTACAACTCCTGGGGCACCTGGATGGCTTAGATGGTTAAGCGTCTGCCTTCAGCTCAGGTCATGGTCCCAGGATCCTGGGATTGAGCCCCACATCAGGCTCCCTGCTCAGCGGGGAGTCTGCTTCTCCCTCTCCCTCTGCCTCCCCACCCCGCTCATGCTCTCTGTATCTCAAATGAATAAATACAATCTTTAAAATAAACAAACAAAATAAATTTCCACAACTCCTGATCCCCCAAACTTGGCTCGTTTGATACACACCATCCCAACACTTGAAAACGAAACCTGAACTGTGGGCACGACTCCTGTAGACGAGTGGTCACTGCACTCTAGAGCCAGGTAGGCACCAAGACCACCTAAGCCACCCTCCACCCCCAGGGCGGCGCACACACAGCCAGACCCCCAGCAGCGCTGACGCCCCAGGGCGCTCTCCCCCACGCAGCCCTCCAGAGTCAGAAGACCCCCCCGAAGGATGATAGGACCGAAGAAAGGGGGTCCTCCCGGGGCACGGGCGGGGAGACACCGTTACTACCACACCTCTACCAGGCCTTCTCTCATCACTCCGCACGGACTCTTTTGAAAGAAAAGAATTCTCAGGCATATGTGGGTAATTTTAATCCCAGACAAAAAGTGGTCATTGCCGACATCTATACCACTGAGGAAGGGAAAAAACTCACACCTGCCTCTCCAATCCTAAAAATAGAAACCGAACCCAAACCTATCTCTTCATAGTTGATACACACGAACACACACACGCCCGCAAGTAATACATTTACTCGTTACTCTGAAACCTCCTCATTACAGGGCAACAAGTATGCCTTTTCCGTGTTTCCTCACAAACAGCATCTCAGCCTAACTACAACCTCTCAGCGGATGGAGGAAAGCGCTTCGGCAGCGGCCCATTTACCTTCCGAAGCAGCCACGGTAGCAGGTCACGGTGACGACCGCACCATCCAACTACACCCCCGCCGGTGGCCCCCGGGAGTTCCCGGTGCTCCGTCCCTCACACCTGCAACTTTGTCTGCTTTTTGATTCGCGCCATCCTCATGGGTGTGAAGTGGTATCTTGCTGTAGTCTGATTTGCATTTCCCTAATGACGAAGGACGCTGATATCTTTTCATGTGCTTGTGGGCATTCGTGTGCCATCTTCAGAGAAATGTCTATTCAGCTCCTTTACTCATTTTTAAACTAAGAGATCCTTCTGTCTTTATGTATTCTGGATACTAGGTCCTCATCAGATGTGATTTGCAAATACTTCCACCCATTTCTGTGGGTGTCTTCACTTTCTCAATAGTGTCCTAAATGCACAAACATTTCTAATTTTGGTGAATCTAATTGATCGAGTTTTTCTTTTGCCGCTTATGCTTTTGGTGTCATAGTTACGGTCTCTTAATATGATTTTCTTTGCGCAAACTAAAATATTAAATATTTCCTACTTCTAAATCAAGCTCTCAATAAGTTACATAAAAGAGTCATTACATTCAAAGGTCTAACAGATGAGTTAAAAACAGAAGGCAGGTCACTGACCTGTTTACGGGACCTCATGGCTGCTTCTTCCAATGTTTCTGCAGCTTCAAATTTGCCCTGACGTCTGTAAAGTGCCCCAAGGTTTTTCAAAGTAGTTGTAACAGTTGGACTGTAAGAAAGCACATGATAAACAGAACTATTAAATACAAGTTTTAGAACTACTATCAATAGCACAAAATCTAAAGCACTAACAGACATGTCTGTGAGAAATATTTTTGAAATGTCTACAGTACTTTTTTTAATTGTAAAATTCTAGTAAGTTCTTCTTCTGTAATGGACAGAACCTGTATTTCACCTATATTGCAGTGAGCTGTGTGTAGGTACGTTCTCATTTACAAAGTTATGGGACTGTGCACACATACCACCTGAAGGACTTTCCACGTTCAGTCATTCACAAGCTGCCCTTAAAGCACTAGCACCTTCCAGGGCAGTTCTGTTTCTTCAGTTAAAAGGACATACCTATTGGGGCACCTGGGTGGCTCGGTCAGTTGAGCGTCCAACTCTTTGATTTCGGCTCAGGTCATGATCTCAGGGTTGTGAGATCGAGCACCGGTCAGGCTCTGCACTCAGCGTGGAGTCCACTTGTCCCTCTCCCTCCCTGTCCGCCCCTCCTCCTGCTCACTCACTCGCTCTTGCTCTATCTAAAATAAATAAAATCTTAAAGAAAAAAAGACATACCTATCAACTTTGCAGGCTTTGTACCAGCCGCCATACTCTCCAAAAGAGGTCCCGTCCTTTTGCTTTCCCTAAATTTTAACAAGTGAACAATTATCTTTAAAGCAATATATCCAATTTAGACAATCTCCCAAAACAGCGTACTCTTACTTTGCATTCTTCTCTTTCTTCAGCGTGCATCCAAATGGGTTTATTTTCATCTAGGGGAGAAAAAATAACGTACTATAAAATTGAAGCATGATAGGGCCCACTGAATAGAGGCTGTCAAGTTTCAATGATTACAAGGTTTTTGTTTCTCGTGTGATCCTTCTTAGATGTTACTTCTTATAACTTGGACAGAGGAAGTTCACGGTGGAGCCTATGAGGGCGCAAGAAACAAGCAGATGGCCGTTCACATGCAGCGCTGTGAACAGAAAACACATAGTCCAATGTACCTACACAGGACAGGCAGCCATCAAAGACACTGACAAACGCTTGGGCCCCTACAATGAGACTTCTAATGCTAGAATGCTCACAGAACGCTGGGGAGTATTTAGAATTTGAGAAGGGCAGCATTAAACAAAAGTCTAAGAAAAGGGTAAGATGCCAGGAGCAAAGTGGAGAAAGATACTAATCAATACTCTCTTAAAGTCTTAACTTTTGAGAACCTTAACCATACCACTCCATCTAAAGTTTCTAGACAACCAGTGTGCCCACACCATGGAGAATAAGCAATCTCAAAAGTGAAATTTCTGAAAAACTTTTATGCTATGAAAAATACTTGAGGTACAAGTGAGGGAAAATAAGTATACATGACTATGTAAAATATGGTTTTAAATATGTAAATCAATCAGCACAAAAAGACACAAATGTTAAAAGATGTATCTAGGTGCTGAAATCATTGGTGATTTTCACGTGCAGTGCCGTCTCTGCATGAATTTTCAAGGATTCTCGCAATGAGGACCTATTTCAGTTTCCAGGGGAAGAAACCTGTGCTCACACCCGGTCCAGCCACTCACTAACAACCAAACACTTCATCTACAGTGTCCTCACTCCTAAAATGGGTGAAGGTTTGACCCACTTCACCAGACTGTTCAGAAAATTAAACATGGGGCGCCTGGGCAGCTCAGGTGGTTAAGCGGACTGCCTTCGGCTCAGGTCATGATCCCGGACTCCCGGGATCAAGTCCCACATCGGGCTCCCTGCTCGGCGAGGAGCCTGCTTCTCCCTCTGACCCTCCCCCGTCTCATGTGCTCTCTCTCTCTCTCATCCTCGCTCTCTCAAATAAATAAATAAATCTTTTAAAAAAAAAAAAATTAAACATGATTACACACTGAGACCACCTCTCGGAAAGACTAGTACATGGCTAGTTGTATGATTGTCACTTGCCATGTCACAGAAGAAAATGAAAACCCATTTCAAATATTGGTTCTAGGAGAGTGAACGGTATGTAAAGCTTACTAATAGCACTGAGTGCAGTCAGAGCTTTACTGAACTAATTCTATTGCTAGAACAGCCAAGTGCACGGCAAGCTAACAGGGCATGATTCCCAGACAACCCAGCAGGTCATGCACTGAGTGTGCGCACTGTGAGCAGCAGAGGCCCCTGGGAGACTGAAGGTCACACGCTGACAGCAACAGGACACTTCTGCATCTTGCCAAAAGAAAACATGACTTCTGTCCTATGTTTTAACATTTGTATGGAGGGCAAACCCAAATACAGGAAAACTGCTTTTAACTAGAACTCAACTGGACTTCACGCTACTATTTTTATCAAAAAGCAGCTAGCAAATCATAAGGGAACAAGTATTCCCCAAGAACAGAATTTTTTAAAAGCAGCATTAAGGAAATGCCCTGGAATCACTACAAAATCCACACGGCCTCTGTAGTTAGGTGAGGATACTTGCCCCAGCCCACAACTGCAAACAGAATCCATGCTCACAATGGTGAGCCTGAGGCATTACTGTGTTCTGAGAGTAAAAAGAGATTTATCGTTCCACTTATTAACAGAGAAAAAAAAACCTAATACGCTTCAAAGATTTTTCACAAGTGGTTTCTAGCAACTCTATAAATGAAAACATTCAGCAAAACCTCTTTCCCTACACATCCTGAGGTTTCCTGCACAGCATAACAACTGTCCTCATTCCGAATGCCTTATGTAACACCTGATGCAGGGGGGAAATGCCTTATGTAACACACAAACATTGTTTTATTGAGTGCTTTAAATCCTGTATTTATTCCAAAACTGTATATTAAGTACGTAAGGAATATGGAGACAGGCCTTGGCTCTTTTAGACAAATAACCCAGCAGGCCTGGGATAGGGTCAACCATTTGCATTTCTGACAGGTCCCACATGGTGCGGATACTACTGGTCCCTGCTGGCAATTTAAGAACCAGGATAACAGAATAATTCCAGGAAGTGCTGATGCCTCCAGAGAGGTTTTCTGGAGCTGGTGCTCTCAGTTATGCACAAAGCAAGCCTGGACCCTGGAGAGGGCAACTCAGAGAGATGTGGGGCAGGTGGCCCATCACCCCTGACCACAAGGCACACGACCACCCTGAGTAATTGGTGACCAGGGCAAGGATGCAGGTGTTCACCATGTTGGATGGTAGATGAATGAATGAATGAGCCTATGATCACTCAGACTGTGCCACATCCTCTCCTCTCAGCACTATCTGCAAAATCATTTCTAAAACTCAAATTCAGGGCGCCTGGGTGGCTCAGTCGGTTGGGCGGCTGCCTTCGGCTCACGTCACGATCCTGGAGTCCTGGGATCAAGTCCCGCATGGGGCTCCCTGCTTGGCGGGGAGTCTGCTTCTCCCTCTGACCCTCCCCCCTCTCATGTGCTGTCTCATTCTCTAATAAATAAATAAAATCTTTTAAAAAAATAAAATAAAATTCAAATTGAATTCTACCTTGAAAATATGATGATGACTTGGGTATTACCAAGTTCCAGCTGGAAATCACCATTTTTAATAAATCCTAACCACCATATCTGCTTAGAAGCGATAGTATAGTCCTTACCATCGACAGAACCAAACTCCCTTTCGTGTGCACGAGTGAGAATCTCTTTGTACAGTGTTTCTGCTTGCTTGAATTTTCCTTGCTTCAGGTAGCAGGATGCCTTAAAATAAAATAAAGTACTTAGTAAACTTCATATGTAAATGAAACACACATTCTTCTCTACAGGTTAAATGACAAAACAAAGCTCAGAGTTCAAAAAAGGAAGCAATTCTGGCTCTACCCACAGACTGCACCTCTGTCCACATACCAGGTTATTTTTCGTTTTGGCCACATTGGGGTCATCGGGCCCCAGTTTTGTTTGGTAGATCTCGAGGGCTCTTTGATAATAATATTCTACTTCCTCGTACTTGCCCTGATTCTGGCACAGTAAGGCCAAGTTATTTAACTGCTTGGCAACATCGGGGTGATCCTTTCCCAAAACCTGGGAACAAAAAAGTGTGTATTAGAAACACCAATCTGTTTCAGTGCCATCCAGTCCGTTCTCCACCCACTATGAGAAGGGTCCTTCTCAATACAAACATGGCTGTGCCCAACGTCCAGGCTCACAGTCCCGTGCTCTGCACTAAGAAAAACAGCCAGAACTCATACTCTGCTGTCCTGATCTCCCTACACACTTTTCATCCTTATAGTAACCCCACACGGGGACTGGCAAAGGCGGCATGAGTACGCACAGCCTGAAACCAAGAAATGGTTGTATAAAGGTTATGTCAGTATGACCCCCAAGTTCTGGAAGAGCCCTTTCTGACTCGAGCTATCACACAAGACTCTTCCCTATGAGTGCAAGCCTTCAAAGGGAATCTCCAGCTCTTGCATTCAGCCTACATACACCTTCCCACTAAGACCCAGAGGTCCTCTGCACTCAAAATCTGACCATTTTAATTCATAAATATCATGCAGATAGTGGCATGAGAAAAGTTTTCCTGCATAATTTGATGATGAGCCCCTTTTATTTCCCCTTTCCCAATTCCTTGCCATATGGCCAAAAATTAAATGTCTCACACTATTACTGGTAAATAATCACAGAAAATACCAATTAAAAATACTACCCCTGGTCATTCATGGCCTGGACTTAACACCGGAGCCTCCCGCCTGCTGAGATTAACAAGCCACATTTTCCCCAACACCTAATTAGCAGAGGCTGCAGCCGCTGGCATGAATACCCATGACACCAGGGTGCCTGGGTGGCTCAGTCGTTAAGCGTCTGCCTTCAGCTCAGGTCATGATCCCAGGGTCCTGGGATTGAGCCCCGCATTGGGCTCCCTGCTCCGCAGGAAGCCTGTTTCTCCCTCTCCATGTCCAGTCCTCAGGAGCTCCTCCTCCTGCAGTCATTTCTAGGCCACATCAGGCCGGGAGGGCACGAAGACTGAACCCACTTTTTTTTTTTTTTTTTTTATTTTTTTTATTTTTGAGGGAGAGAGAGCGGCGTGTGCGTGTGAGCAGGAGGGGCAGAGACTCTCAAGCTGACTCCGCACTGAGCACAGAGCTCGATGCAGGGCTTGATCTCACAACCCTGAGATCATGACCTGAGCCAAAAACAAGACTCGGATGCTTGTGACTGAGCCACCCAGGTGCCCCTGAACACCCACTCACTCCTCTTAAACATCGGTCTGAATGGGCTCATCTAGCTGTGTTTTGTGGGCTGTCCACCTCATCCTTCATCAAATGAATCATTTTCAGTAAATGGTCAGTCATAATATACCAGAGTGGTCATTCCTCAAGACTTAAAACGCTGCATCTCAAACAATGAGCACCCCTTCCTTTGCCCACACCTTTTCTCTGATCTCCAGAGCTCTTTTACACAGCGGTTCGGCCTCTTTGTACTTCCCTCTTTTGCCGTAAAGAACTGCGAGGTTATTCAGAGTTGCTGCCACCTGCCAACACAGAGAGAACAGCAGAGAATGGTAAACAACAGCAACAGACAGGACTTCAGATATCACATGCTCATCAATATCCAGGTTGCACAGTGAAGTGCTCTCCACTAAAGTGAAGGAACAGGACTTCAGTTAAAAGCAAAAGAGCAATTCACTATACACTATAGATTATACAAAGTAAATTGGAGAATACTAAAATTAAACAATCAACAATAACACCGTGATCTTGATTTTTTAATTTCACTGGAAGCCACAAAGCCAACCCAAACACAGATCTGTTTGCAAATCTGGCCAGATTTTAAGAAAAAGACAATATAAATTCTTTAGAGAAATTTATAGAAGTACATGCAATCTGATTTAGAATAAAAAGATACAGTACGTGATCCATGTGAAGCGGTGACGATGAACAAGTTAACTGTGCGCTGACATAGGCTGAACATCAGAGCCACCAGCCCCGAAGCTCAGCACTGGTACTGAGTAAGTGAAGATTCCTACCTGCGCCATCTAGTGAAAAGGCAGCTCTTAAACCTTCCCTGTTGAGTTTAATATTAAAATGAGTTGAATAAAAAAATATATTAGGGAAAATGAAATATAAAAAGAAGGAAAGAACCAGATATACACACCGCGGGATGATCTTTGCCCAAAGTTTTCTCACGGATGGCCAAGGCATCGTTCAGTAGATTAGCGGCATCTTTGTATTTATTCTGGTCTCTAAATTAAAAACATACATTAAGTGTTTGGGATATAACTTACCACATCTTTTTAAAATGTAATTTTGAAACTACAGAAATAAAAGTTAAGTTTGAGCTATTTAAAAAATAAACGTCCACTATTAAAACAATTAAAAACACCTCTAGCATAGAAGAGAAAGACTCCACTAATAATGTGAGCTTGGAATCAGGCCTGATTAGCTTTGGAACCTGGCTCTCCCCTCCAGGTCCTGGGGACAACACTGCCCCCACACCACACAGAGTACGGGAGCTGGTCCAGAAGGCCGCCAGAGCTTCACCTGCTATCAGACAAAACTGACCCCAGGGTCTGAGCCCAGGTTCTGCCAGTTAATGGGTACAAGGCTTTGGGATATTAAGCAGCCTCCCACAGTCCCCAGCGACCCATCTAGAAAGTGTATTACCTAACTTACAGAGTTGCTCTAAGAAGCTAATGATATGCTACGTGTATAATGAAAACGCTTGTTAAAAATAAATACATTATAATGTCTTAATCTGGTACATATTTGCCACCGTTTGCTTGAGTAAAGGAGGAAGGAGGGGGCTTTTGACTGCAGTAGGACAGAAAGCCCAGCCCCAGCCTTTGCCCTCCTTGGTTTGTGTACCGACAATGTGATCACAGGAGAGTTATTTGCTCTGTGAGACTGAGCACACGCGTTCCTTAACTGTGTAATAACAGCTGCCCAGCAAGGCTTTGCCCTGCAGAAGCCAGACTGCCCTACAAGACATGGAAAGGGTTAATGGTCCTCTGGAACCTCTGAAGCACACTAATTCTGTCCAAGTGTATTGAGATTATTTTCTTCAATTACCCCACTACACATGATAAACTGGCTCATCTGTTTTGTGAAAAGCAGCAAGTATGACAGAAAGTCTCAAGAACTACTAGAGACAGTTATAACCAGTAACAAGAACTACCTAAAAGCGTGTGGCAGCTAAATGAGGCAAGGTGTACTGAGCACTTTTCTAAACTGTGACGGGCCCTAAAATGTCAGAGGCTATTAATTAATTAGCCAAAGTGAGGTCCCAGCAAGAGCAACAGCACTGGTGCTCAGGTGTGGCCCCAAACCGATGACCGTCACCGTCAGCTGGAACACACTAAAACCAGCCCCGCCCCAGCAACTCTGGCTCTGGCTCTGGGGCCCGCACTCACTTGACTAGCCCACCAGGAAATTCAAACTCAAAATGAAAACAAAAGTATACCACTGCACGCATAAAAATCCTAATAGAAAAATGGGCAAGATGATGGAAGATTCACAGGACACAAATGACTAAAAATATCGAGAAATACAAAGGCAACCACAGTGCTCTGCTCCTGCATTACTGAAGTGTAGGGTCAAGCCACACTGCGCTGGTGGGGACGGTGAGGCTGAAGCAGGGACAGGATGCCGCCTTCCTGGTAAGGGAGCAGTTTGGTAAGAGGTACCAGGCGTAGACTGTGTAGACTCTGACCATTTTAGGAACTGATCCTTAAAAAAATCCAAAATCTCAGGAAAAACTTCTAAAGATGTTTATCAAGTATATTATGCCCTTCCCCCAAAAGCTTAAAATTAAATGTCCCCTAACACAAGAAGGGGGAGAGGAGTTACAGGCCAGGGTGCAGTCCTGAATACGAATGCGAATGTACAGGCAGCTATCCATTTGTTTTTTGACTTTTGACTGACACAGTAACCCCTCAGCCAGAGCATTAAGGGAAAACACCAGACCACAGCGAAGCCCCGGAATTCCCGCTGCCTGACACAGTGGTAAGCGTGGGACCATGGAACAACAACAACCCTACGTGCATTTTTTATTTGACTCATTTATAATAATAATATCTAGTGTTGGCCAGAAATTTTCATGTTAGTGCATACAAACTGTTTTAAGTTTATTTGAATGATCTCTACGCCCAATGTGGGGCTTGAACTCACAACCCTGAGATCAGGAGTCGGATGCTCTGACTCAGGAACCGACTGAGCCTACCAGGTGCCCCAGTGCACACAAATTTTTTTTAAAAACCTTTTGGAATGAAACTGGCATCATCTGTCAAGATTTTAAATGTAAATACCCGTGACTAAGGAATCCCTACACTATTGTAACAGTAAAAATCTGCAAATAACCTAAATGTCCACTGACGGGGAAACTGTCAAAAAAGGTCAGGACTAGACGCAAGACAGTGCGCTATGCTGCCCCGGAAGTCAGCAGGCTAACTGCGGGACAAGCATGGGCAGGGCTGCGGACATGGCGTGAAAGGCCGCTTTCTTTCTGGTGGTGGTGTGTTTCGTGAAGAAATCACTCGTCTCAATGAATGGCCGCATCAGTTCGTTTTCTCTTCCCTGAGCCACTCCCTGTCCCCTCCCTCTGCACCGTCCCCCTCCTTGCTCAGACCCCATCTCCATACCCCTAGGATCCTGCCCTGCCGCCAGGCCCTGGCTGCCATTCTGTCCTGCACACAATGCCAGAGGGACTCTGGTGAGACCGAAGTAGGAGCCTGCTGCCCCCCACCAGCACCTCTCAGCACTGCCCACAGGGCCTCCACAGTCAGGCCCAGCTTCTCCCTGCCCCATCTCTTACAACTGTTCTTCAGGTGCTGTCAAGCTTGGCCAACTAGGTTCAGGAGGAAGCCCCAAACACACACAACACCCCTTCCCATCTCCACATGCTAAAATCCTACCCATCCCTCGAGGCCCCGAGAGTGCGGCTCTCACCCTTCCAAAAACCCTTCCCTCATCCTCTCAACTGGAAGGAATCTTTCTGTTCCATGAAAACTTTTGTTATTTTATTAGCAGAACCCAGTCTCTCTGCTTCTATAATAACATATGAATGTAAACAGCCTATCTTCTAAACAAGGTCCTAAGTTCCTTTAGAGAATGCTATTTGAGCATTTCATGTCTGCAGGGCAACACCACATGTCACGTGCCCTACAATCCTCCCTTGGACCTCCGAGTGGATAGTATAACTGCCTCCATTTTAGATTCAAGAAAACTGAGGCTCAGAAAAGCTAAGGGCTCTCGACAACACCCTCTGTCTCGTGGCCATCTAGCAGAGACACAACCTGAATTCTCCTGACTTTAAATACAAGGTTCTGCTTTCTCCCCGAGGACAGGAACCATATATTCATTCATCTCTAGGGCCTCACGGGAACCAGCCCAGTCTGACCTATACTTGGGTGTCCAAAAATGTTGAATGGGGACAACCAAACCAATGAAAAACACGCATCTGTTAATCCCAACCCACAAAACTGGAAGGGCTACAGCAAACCAATCCTGCTGTAACTTCTCCCTTCTCGGTCCCTACTCACCCACATCTGCTCTAATTCAGGTGAGTTCAGCTAAAAGACACACACAAAGGGCTCCAACACATCACTCCCTGTGCCTCAGGGCAAATTCCTTAATCCCCCTTCAACATGTTCACCCAGGGCCCCTAAGTAAGGAAGCATGCTATAGTGATGTGAAAAGTGGGGACACAGACACAAGCTGGTCCCCAACTTTCAGGGACACTATTCCAAGAGAAGAGAGAACAAAATTCAAATAACCCCGACACCAAGCGCAGGGAGAAATGTCAGAAGAGAGGCAGGGATTAAGGGCTCTGGGGGCACAACAGGGGCAAAGGGCAAGTGGAACCTGAGACTCAAAAAGGAGAGAGAGCTAACAAGGCTCTAGAAGGGTGGGAAGGCTATTCTGGACAAAAGGAACCTGGTACACAGAGTCTGGTGGAAAAAATTAAGAATTTAGTTTGACCCGAGTGAAGGGTGCATTTGGGCTATTCTAGAAAGGCTGACCTGGGTTGTTTCGGGCAGCATCTGTTCCACAGGGTGAGATACCTTTGCCATAGAGCTTGCTGAATATTTTGAATTTAACCCCCTGGCTGTTTGAAGAGACGTGACCAATGAAGCTGGTGAAGTGAGCTTATACAGGTTTATAGAAACATATTTAAGGGCAAGTTCATTAAAAATACTGTCGGTAGGTAAAACTAGGGGATAGAATGAAAGTACTAGCCTGTACACCAAAGCCAGGATGTTCAGCATGGTGGCCACATCCGGGTGGTCGTGGCCGGAAGTCTTCTCCAGGTCCTCCAGGGCCTGCTTGCAGAGCGGCACGGCCACCTCATAGCGCCCCTGAGAGGCGTACTGGATGACCAGGTTGTGGAGAGTGCGCAGCCGCGCCGGGATCTCGTAGCCGCCCTGCTGCGCGGCCGCCGCTGCACTGCTGTGCTGCTGCTGAACTGCACGGACAAGGTTTCAGGTCGCATGTGCGCCAAGGACAGTATCCGGACGAGAGCATTCGTTAGACCCTTCCTCTCTAGCTTTGGTCCCAGGGGGCACATGACCCCCACGCTGAGGAAACCCACCCAGCACTCCCCAGGCAGGTTGGGTGACATCAGTAACGTGTTGGGGGTGGTGTGATGCCCCCAACAGTGCAGTGAGACTCCTCTCAGCACCAAATGAACTCTTGCTGTCTCACTCTGTGAGACCCACAGACCGCACAGGAACTGCTTGTTCATGCCCCGAGATTTCATATGGGCTGGTCTAACATGCTGCCATATCCCAACAAGAAACATCTGAAGTTCTCTTGGGAAACATTAGGCAACCCGAGTGTGCAAGTGCCTCTGGGAAGCAGGCTACAGGCTCTTAGACACCCACTAATTATGGCACTTCCATAAGACAGGACAAACTACCTTCTGTTTGTATGTATATGCTGCCGTTTAACCGCTCCCCCTCACCAACTTACTTCCTTGACCGGGATCATCATCGTCATTTGGGAAAAGGTCATCCAGAGGCTCTTTGGTGGAATCGGTGTCTTTGTCCTCCTATAAAACCAACCCAGGGTAACTTTAGCCTTACAAGTACTATAAATCCTGTACTGGAAATCTTTAGTATAAATATCATTTTAACAAAA